AATCACTTGATCAGATACGCTATGTTCTGGGAAGAAGAGCCTTTAATCTCTGATTAACTACGATGGCGCTTTTGTGTTCATATTTTCCAGTATCCGATATATGAAACCTCCGTGGTGCTATACCATACCATGGCCTAGAGCTTACCTTGATAGTAGTTGAATGCACGTTTATACAGTACAACTCCAAAAGAATTCACTCTGAATTTGCTAGTCAGCAACCAGCAATACTTATATTACCGGAATAATTTAAAAACCTTCTGCCATTACATTTTAACTTAATTATTTTCCGTTATTGGGAATAGTCAAGTCGATCAAATCAATTTCAAGCTTTTCAATTCATTACATTCTTACCCATGAAAATGTGATATATTTAAAAAAAACCACAATTTGACAATATTAGAATTTTCTCACCATATATAAGGGTTCAATGTTAGTTAGATGTCAGACGTGAGACCATCAGCGTCTTTATATAAAGAAGTGTGGCCCAGACGTGAGCTTTCGGCGTCAGTATAAAAGAAGCAAGCACCCCCCCTTTTTTTTTTCATTGTCAGGTGTCAGGTACACACAGACTTTGTGTGTAGCTTTTTTTAATTTAGTATAAATATCAACTTAGTTTGCAAAACAATAAAGATCATCTTATATCTCAATTCGATTCTTTTATATACATTTATCTAAGTCTACTCTAAAACTATACCTATACACACGACACAGGTGCACACAGACTTTGTTAGTAACTTTTATAGTTAATATGAATATCAAAAATAATAAAGGTTATTTTTTTTCTCACTTATACTGCTGAGACATATACATTTATCTAAATCTGTTACTTATACTCACAACACCATTAAATAACAAACACTTTGTAACATTCTATGCGGAAACTTTTTGATAATTTTACATTTATCTGCCAGTAATTTTTAAACAAATCAGCTCTAGTACACATTCAAAATAACATTCATATATTACGAACTGTTCAACAACGCGATGGCATAGTAAAAGCGAATATAGTACCACAAAATTTCGAGAACCTAATTCCACTACAGTAGCAGTTTATGAAGATTATTATCTACAGTCTGATTGGATTATTTTGTATATTCCACACGGTCATCAAGCGATTGAGAAACAGTATCTAATGAATATTATGGCAAACATTGTATCGTATAGTATTAAAAGACAATTTTTCATGTATGTTATCTTTTTACTATCTCATGCCGTGCAATAGATAGCATCCTATTAATAAAATTAAACTGTATGGGCCCGCTTCTGCAACAAAGGCAACATAATAAAGTGTGCTACTCTTTGGGGTATTCAATGCATGCATCTTTAATAAACTCAGTAAATCTGTAAGCCATGTCTTTCTACGTGTTGTATTCACATATAATCCAGCCCAGCCTTTCATAGTATCGATCTATATGAGGGCTTGATTGTTGCGAAGCGAATATGCAAAATCGTAGTATCTAAGCAGTAAATTCGATTTCTCTCTTTCTTTATTAATAATGGATTGTTTAAAATCTACATATATATAGCAGTGTTTATTATTGTTAATGATTTGGAATGTCTACGGCGGCAGCCCGCAGGGTGACACCGTCGTCAAGTGTAGTGATATTGCATCTAATTCAACATTTGTTAATATTAGTCCTAATCGATTTTACCGTAGCCAAGCAAAGGTGTACAACCATAGTGTTCAAGCAGCAAGTTTGGGTTCTCATTTGCATTGTTAATAATAAGCTTACCAGCAACATAGGGCATCAAAATTCGCATGAATTAGTCTTACAAAATCAATATGTCTCCTGTTAAAATTACAAGCTGCACAGGTTGCAGAACTGCCCTTCCAGACGACTTTAGCTACTAAAGATGCGGTTCATGCCGTGTAAATAAAAGCCATAAAGCAAAACATAACCAAATTGGACAGTTTTCAAGCCTTCATATCTTGACATGTAGACCTTCCTGAGCCACCGGAATAACGCCAAACAATTGCACTTAAGTAGTAGCAACTTTCTGACACCTTTGCTCAACCTTTTGAGAACCTAAAAAATATGGCCAAAAATCAACCAAAAAGCATGAGGTACCCCTCATGGCTTTTTACGAAAATCAAAGGATCGCATTTTTCGCCTTGAAAATAAAGAATTTTACTATGGCATATATCAAATTAAAATGTTTTTCTCGATCCAGAGCAACCTCTGAAACCACTGTTATGAGGCTTTCATATACAAAATATGGCTATTTTCGCTAAAAACCTCATTTCAAATTTTATTGAATTGCTCAATAGTTTCAATCAAAACACTTATTACATTTAGCACCGTCGGAAGCGCCTTGAAAAGTACTTCAAGAATGTATTAGGAAGCGTAGGGTGATCATCACAGTTCATATAGTCGAATACCAAAAAATAGATTAAAGAAGTCGAAAAAAGACGAGATCTGTCCAATCTTGAGCAGAAAAAAAAAAGCTGAGGTTGAATTAATTTTGACGGCGGCATTGCTGCTGGCTGACCTAAATGCCTTTCTGTTGATGATAATGATGATTGCGATGTTGATTAAATGGGGATCATGGAATTGAAAGGGTAATTGCTTAACCCAAATACGTTTTTGGGTGCTTTTGTTATAAGCGAGCCTTTTGCAATGTCAACAACTCAAAAAAAGTCGCTGTAGATCTTACACAAGTCCTTTATTTACTTATGACCAGCTTTATGTCGCCATCTTATTAAGAGCATCAGCAGCAGTGAATGATATGACAATTCTATTATCAAAAAATGGCATTTGTGATATACAAATACTGCATAAAATTTGAATTTCTTTCGCATTGTCCCAATAATAGGCTTTGTTTAATATCAGCGTAAGCAAAAAGGATACTAAGGGAGATACCTCCTCTCCTCCTCCTGGCTCTGATGCAACCTTTCTGTTACTAACTAATAATAAATTGTTTAAAATCTACTTGATATACCAAAATGTTATAATGTCTGATTTAAAACGGTTTCGATGAGAGCCCGCAGGGCGACGCCGACATCGAGCGTAGCGAGATGAATGGGCAAGTAATAAATACTGGAAGCCTTGAACATAAAAGCGTCGTAGTAGCAAATTAGAGACTGCAAGCCCTTGTCCCAAGAACACACTGCATCTAATTTTAATGATGTTATACCTGCTATACTTAGCTGTGGATTAAGTGATTTGTGGTGTCAAGGCAACATTTGCTAACCTTGACCTTAAACAGGTATAATAACCCTAAGGAAGCAAACGTGAAAAGCCATAATAAAGCAGTAAATTTGGTTTCTTATTTTCATTTGATGCATTTCACACCATAATCCATTATATTACACCTAATACAACACATCAACATCTCATCGGTTTTTACATACACTACTAAACGCACATCAAACTACAGTCTACACGCACATCAAGACCCATCAAATAGTCAACTAGTAGGATGACTATTACTGAAACAATACCATTTAATTCAATGACAAAAGAGCGGTTACAAATACACGTAACTGTAGATTATTTACACATATCATTTACGACAATCTACTGGATCATCACACTTGACTTTACACCTCAGGATTTGACATTATTCACAAAGATATAAATGGGACCACACAATTCATTCAATAAAGGATTGTCTTAATTTTGCACAGAATGATAAACTGATAATTTACTGATACATTTATTTGTATGATTTTAGTTATTTACCGTATTTGTCAATCTAATTAACAGAATTTTTATCCATTGTTATAGTATATAAGAAGGATCATCTACCTGGCCAGTAGAGAAACTTCAGCTTACTTTACACCTGTCAGTTTGATAATAAAACTTACCTTTATCAAGTTGACTTTACTGTTTTTTATGCTTTTTTTTCCATGAATTTTAGTCTATAAAGCCTCAAATTCCACAGGTTCCATACTTCAATAACAAACATCACACTTTAAACCATCAAAATTACATTAAACCATGCTATGACGATAGCTCACCCAAGCCCATCAAGGTTACTCAAATCGACCCTTATGGCCAGTGCTTTTTAAGGCGCATCAAATGATACCATGTAACTTAGATGTTTTGAATAAACTGATTGAGCAATTTACGAAAATATGAAAAGAGGTTTCTAGCCAAAATGTCGAAATCTTACATATCAAGGTCCCACGAAGATGATTTCAGAGGTTACGTTACATTGAGGGAAATATTTTGATTCAATATCATAACATAATAAATGTTCAGTCCTTTTGCACTTTACAACCCTGATATGGAACCTGAGCTTCAAGGCATCTATCAGGCCTGGCTCATATGAAAATAATGATTTTACAATCAATCAACAAAGACCACCATCTTTCCTCTGCTCAATGCTGTCAGCAACGTTTTCTTTGAACGACGACCCACAGCCTCAGAGATCTAGTCAACGGCTGCGATCGAGACAACAAAACGAACATACTCGACCATTGAGAAGACCACGTCGTAATAGAGATCTAGATAGCATATTGTTTGAATTACTAAAAAACATGGAATTAATTTTTATTTTGTTACACAGATGACATTACTGATAACACCCAGTTTAAAGAAAGTAACCATCTCTTTGAGCGAAATGTTGATTATGATCCAAATTCCCCTACTTACTGCAGACATTTTATGCAGCCCATGAATCGTCAATGTCCAAACTGTAACGCATTGTTGTATACTGAAGAGCTTTTAAAAAACAAATTTTCGATGTGTTGTAGACAGGGAAAGGTTCAATTGGAAGCCCTGCAAAATCCTCCCCAGCCACTACGATCTCTACTTACTGATTCAGACCAAGAAAGTCAGCATTTCAGAAAGAGCAGTAGAGCCTACAATAACAGCTTTGCCTTTACATCACTTGGTGCACAGCAAGATGAGGGCTACAGTGGATTCAACAGTGGCACTTACACATTTCGAGTTAAAGGCTCAACATACCACAGAATTGATCCTATCTCTTCTATGCCAGGATTTGCCCCATAGTATGCTCAAATATGTTCTACGGACCCTCAATACCAAGCTAGCATGCGCAGAGGTATATTTTCGCTGCTTCATGAACCTCTGCTTGAGCGTCTCCAAGAAATGATGATGAGAGAATGTCCCTTTGCACAGACTTTTGAGATGGCAAGACAACGTTTCGCTCATAATGAAGACAGTTTTCACATCATGATTAGTGGCCGGGCAACAGCGACATTAGGAAGAACTTATTCTGCCCCTACTATAGATGAAGTGGCGGCCATTGTTGTAGACCCAGCCTCCACAGACTATCCAAACTATGTCCTTAATCTAAGGAGAGATGTGGCAACATTTCGTAGAAATGGCACTGTGGAACATATTATAAGTGAATGCCATAGATCCTATGATTCAATGCATTATGTTTTGATGTTTCCGAGAGGTGAGAACGGATGGAATGTCAATATGCCACTCAGCATTACTACGAATGCCTCCTTCGAAGACGATGATGAAGGTGATGCAGTTAATAGCGAAACTGATGACGATAATGCTGCCAATGCAGTTGAAGCTGAAATCGATGGCGATAATGTCGAACAAGAAGTTACAAGGCCTATTACCACCATTAGAAGAGCTCAGCAAAATATTAGCGTAATGCCATTTTATGCTCATCGATTGCAAGTGAGACCCAACGCAGGAAGGCTGCATTATTTCGGCCGGCTCTTTCATCAATATGTAGTGGACATGTATGTAAAGGTTGAACATCGACGTTTGGAATATCTACGAAATAACCAGGGATCGTTACGAACAGAGCTGTATTCAGGGCTTACAGATGCAGCGGTACCTGATAGCACCATCTCCACTGAGGAGATTGGTAAGCAAATTATTTTACCCTCATCACCTACTGGATCACCAAGATCAATGCAGCAGTTATATCAGGATTCAATGGCAATGGTTTCTGCATTGGGTTAACCAAGCTATTTCATAACATTTACCTGCAATCCAAACTGGCCCGAAATTGTCAATGAATTACGCAACGGTGGTTTGAGCCCAACTGACAACAGACCGGATCTGTGTGCACGAGTTTTCGACATGAAGCTCAAGGAGTTGATTTCTTATATTAAGACAAAGCCATACATCTTTGGTAATGTCATTGGCTTTACTCATGTCGTTGAATTTCAGAAACGTAGCCTGCCACATGCTCATATGGTGATTATTGTGGATGAACCGAGCAGACCTACTCTTGAAACGTATGATAAGTATGTCACTGCCGAACTCCCAGATCAAAGCAAGCACCCCAAAGCGTATGCTACAGTCGTTAGAAACATGATGCATACTCCATGCGGAAAAAACATCAATAAGAAAAGGCCATGCTTAGATGATAATCTCCAGTGCACCAAGCAATATCCAAAGCAATACACCGAAGAGACTTTCATCGATTCTAAAGGATTTGTTCATTACAAACGACGAAGTCAACCAAGAAGCATGCCTGTCAAATTTGGGGATTATTATGCTGATAATCCATGGGTCGTACCTCATAACTTATACTTGGTGACAAAGTATGATGCTCATATCAACGTTGAAATTTGCGCAGGAGTCCAGGCAATCAAATATCTTCACGAATATATCACAAAGGGTAGCGACAAATCTCAAGTCAAATTAAGTAGAGACCAAGCCCAAGATGTCAATATCACAACCAACGGCAATACTGCCACTTCTCCAATGACAGCAGCATCCACCTCTACGGCCACATCATCTGCTCCTACAGTAGGGCAGCCTCAAGAAGATAATACCAATAGAGACGAGATCTCAACTTGGGTCAATGCCAGATACATTTCCCCGTCTGAAGCGTGCTGGCGCTTACTTGGAAAGAATTTACACTCTACTTTTCCGTCAGTTACTCGACTGGCAGTTGATCTTCCAAATCAGCACAGGGTGTACTTTAACAACAACACTACTATTGCCAATGCCGTAAATGCTGCCATAGCAAAGAAGACTACTTTGCAAGCATTTTTTGAATTGAACGCATCAGGAGACGTCTTTGCGCAGAATTTGCTTTATATTGATGTCCCAAGACATTATTCATTCGACAAAAAGCAGAAAAAATGGGTAAAAAGAAGGCGAGGAATCAACAGCCAGAACCGTGTTAAGGGGATAGGCAGAATGTATTTCGTGCCTCCAAGTGCTGCTAATATGGAGAAATATTGCATGCGTCTACTTTTATTGCATGTTCGTGGCCCTCAAAGCTTTGATAATTTAAAAAACGTCAATGGTGTTCAATATGCCACATTTCGTGAAGCTGCTCAATCCATGGGACTCTTAGCAAACGAGGATGAATGGCATTTTTGTCTCGATGAAGGATATTATGCGATGATAAGAACTGGATCCTCTCAGGTGCGAGATCTTTTTGTAACCATTCTGATGTTTTGCACTATCTCCACCTACAAACAACTATGGGATAATCACAAGGTTCAACTGTCTGAAGACTTTATTCATGAAATTCAACAATCTCAAGCTGTTCTACAAAAATTGACTGATGCTCAGCTGGAATCTTGCTATCAAAAGGCATTGATTGACATTAGTAGAAAATTAATGACGCATGGAAAATCAGCCAAGAATTATCCAGAGCTGCCCCAAATCGATGAATCTCTTTTCAATCAGGAGGATGAAGAGCTTCGATCATTATTTGATCAAGAGGTAGTTGGGTATAATCTGGAGACCTTGGCTACTGAAGTTCGAATTTATGAGGAAAGGATGAACGCTGATCAGCTTCAAATATACAACACTGTGCTTAATTCTGTAAACAATCCTGGTCTTGGTATCCCTACATGTTTCTTCATTGATGATCCCGGTGGTGGTACTGGAAAAACGTATCTGTATCATGCTCTTCTCACTAAGGTTAGAGCAGAATCAGGAATTGCTTTGGCAACTGCTTCTTTAGGTATCGCAGTAACTCTTTTACCAGGTGGTCGTACTGCTCACAGTACTTTCAAGATACCTCTCAAGACAGACCAAACATCAACCTGCCACTACTCAAAACAATCAAACACTGCTAAACTTTTGAAGGAAGCAAAGCTGATTATTTGGGATGAAGCACCAATGACTCACAAGCACGCATTTGAGGCTGTAGACAGATCGCTACGTGATTTGATGTCCTCAGTACATATTTCTTATGTTGGAAAGCCTTTTGGTGGAAAAGTCGATGTTCTTGGAGGGGATTTTCGTCAAGTTCTCCCGGTAGTCAAGAGAGGTTGAAGGGCAGATGCTGCTGCAGCCTCTTTGAAGGCATCATACTTGATGTCTCATACTAAAAGTCTCAGCCTGACTCAAAATATGAGACTCACCAACGATGAAGGCCCTTCCTCATCTCAATTCGGTTCTAACGATTTCGCTCAATACTTGCTCCGTATTGGTGAAGGATCTGACCAACATCAATTCGGTGATACTCTGGCCATTGACCCCCATTTGGATTGTAGTTACAGCGAGATTATTGAAATTGCTTTTGGTGATGTATCTACTCTCCCGTTCGTTTAAAAAATTGTCTTTTTGCATTAGTTTTTAGTCATTTCTTTTTATACAAAGTCGAGATATATATCGTTTGAATGAGAGAAAGTAGTGCTATCTATATATATTTATGACTTTTTCAAAAACTAAAATCGAATGAGTTTATTGATTAAAAAATATATATAATACAAAAACTTACATTTTATTATAAAGTCAATAATAGTGAGTTGAACCATCTTTGCTCTTAATGACAGCCTTGATTCGGGCAGGCATACTGTTAATATATTTTGGGCACTCTTTTTCTGTTATTTTGTACCATTCTATGTTAATACGCCGCTTTTGTTCTTCTTTTGTAGAGGGTCTAGTGGAACACTTATTAAGACGAAGCTTTAGGAGATGCCATACATGTTCAATGAGACTAAGATTGGGACTTTGGGTTGGACAATTCATATTTTCGTCTAGGTTTAACCCACTCTCGGTGAACCAATGCTTAGTAATGCCCGCGGTATGCGGTGTTGCTTTGTCTTGTTGAAATCACACATCAGATGGTGTCTTCCCAAAGTGCTAAAGAGTGTTGTCCAATGATGACTTCAAAATATCGACATACAAGCCCGAGTTTATTGAGCCCTCGATAATGGTAGTACCATAACCAGACCCCTCCGCTGTTACGCAACTCCAGAACATGACTCCACCATCATTTCTCTGCACCTAAGACTGGACTTGATACGGCTGCATGGTTCGGCCACCATTCGTCCAGTAAAACGAATTACCATCTGAGCCCCAAAGGTTTACTTTTGTTTCATACGAAAACACTCAACAACGCCAAACAGCAATAGTAAGATGCCCATGCTTTTTAGCCCACGCCAATCGAAACCGCTTGTTTGTCTTGCTAACAAAATTGATCTTTGGTTTTCTTCGAGATTTAAGACCATTTCTTCTCAATGATTTGTGGATGTCAGTAATTGACATATCTTGGCTTATCAATCTTAAACTTTTTTTGCGCTGCTCCGGGACTATCTAAAGTACCTGATCGAAGTTCTCTTGACACTAGGGACATAGTTTTAGTACCAGGTTTTTCTGTCTTCCGCCAGCAGGTAGAGCTAGGTCAGGGCAATAGAGTTTTCTGAGCCTTGTAAGACTACAGTTACCGACTTTTGGATACATATTTTTTTATCTTTGATAACGAAAGACCATGTTGGAGCAAAGATTGGAGAGTGTTGCGCAGATCTTGTGTTAAACGAGCAAACATAATGAAAGTTTTGAAAAAAAATATGAAAGCAAAGAAATAAAGAAAAAATATGAAAAAATTAGCTTCTTTTATACTTTTAGAATGCTCCTGGGGCATTAAATATTCTGAACATACCGCGGGTAGTTTTTTAGATCTCTTCGATACGTTTATTGGAAGTAGAGATATCAACTATTTTATATCATCTAGAATTACCCGCCTACCATTTTTGACACTTCCCACTTTGACTGGTTATACTGGGATTAAAATATAGTCCAACCATAAGTGTTATATGTTGCTGTAACTTCTGTTAGCTGTTCTATCGAACGCAGTATTGGAGGTATTTTCTTCTTGAGTTTTGGCAATATACTGGGTAAAAGTCAAGATTATTTGAACGAACGGGACAGTTTTTTCCCCTACAGTATTATCAATAACTTCTTTTAATTTTCTGTCTGTCTCTGCGGGGTCTTCTCCGATATCTTCGGCAGGTTTCTCAACGTGTTCAATCATCAATCTTGCTTTAGCCTCTTTCTTTTGGATTGACAAAGAGGATCCAAGATAATTCTCAGCGACAATTTGAACTGGACTTCTTTGAGGGATGTCACCAAGAACAACTTCGCTGATCGACTTTCCTTTTCCTTTTCTGCGACTTTTTGATGGCTCAGGAACGACATGACGAACAGAGCTTGTGGACACTAGTAGAATGTCAGTCGCTTCTGAGGTATTGCTCACTGTGGGTAATGATTGATTTGACCCGAAAAGATCTTTGCTACTTTGGCCAGTCTGGAGTGAACGAGAGTATGGTTTACATTTGTCGCCTAGTGTTTCCCTTAACTCTTGAAAGCGCAGACAATCTTGCTCCATTTGCGCTATGATTCAAGATGTCAGTATGTAATGTGCGTATAGTGTAGAATGTAGCACTACCTTTGACTAGATAGTCAGTCCTCATCCACGCCTTTCCCTGTTTCAAACTGGTACTGGCTCACCTTCTTGAATTGATTGATGATTCTTCGAATCTTTCCTCGCACGGCTTCAGTGGAAATATTCTTACCACCAGCATCTTTCATGCACTTGATAACCTTTCACATTGCACCCGATCCTGTGGAATCAAGGCGTTTTCCATTTACCCTAATTCACTTGTACATCTTCAGCAGCATGCCATTGTCTTCGACGAGTAGATCCAGCAGATAAGCACTGAACGTAACATTGTTGTCTAAACCTTCAGTCTTGCCGCTCCAGTTGCAACTGGGTTCATGCTTTTTCGTCTTTTTAGCTTCTTTTGCCACTTTTAACTCCTTCAATTTCTCCTCACGTCTCTTCATACTCGCGCTTCTTTTTCAAGTCATAAGCAGATGTAAGTGGCATAATAAACGCAACCAAAATAAGTTGTAGACTGAAAAAAAAGGAAAGGATGTGAGACAACGTTGACAGCAGATCATCAAGGGTGGCCAATGTTGTAGTGCATTTGGTTGGTGCTGCTTTTTAACCAGAAAACGCCCAAAAACAACTTTGGCCGCCCTATGAGGTACCCCTCGTGATTTTCATCAAAAATCAAACGTTCACGTTTTTCTCCTTAAAAATGAAGACTTTTACTATAGCATACGAGCCTTTCAGCACTTTGGGTGGTTTCCTGACCAACGCTTCGCTTCGGTGGAAACCAAACTACGTTCAGGCGGCTTGCGCTGCCGCGGGCCTTTAGCTATGTTAAGCACAAAGAATAAAAGGATTATTATTTGTAGCTTATAAAAAATGTTCGATATTATAAAAACAAGAAAAGACTTATTTGAATAAGATCAGACACAAAAACTAAAGATTTATTGATGAAGACAAGAGTTATTCTATTTATACTAAGTTCTGAATGCCAAAGTAGCAATTTATCTTGTACAACGCTTATCACATCTGGTGAACCTCAGTATCTAGATAGCTGAGATGCACTTCAATTATCATAGCTTGTCCATGTTGTTGCACAACACAGACATATCTACCCATCAAGAATACCTTAATATTTATAGACAGTTGTAGCCCTTCTGGCACAACAAGCTAATATCCCAAAATTAATATAGCTAAAATGTTAGAAGAGGAACCCTGATTGTTGATTGATATATAATCACTAATCATATGAGTGTTTATGCTTCGGATGGTTCTCACCGAAGCGTAGCGAAGGTAGAAAACCAACCTGTACAGCGACAGCTCGAGCTACCGGTTACCCTTGTGTATCTTATCATAATACTACTACGTTCAAGCTGACCCTCTACTTACACATGAGAACCCTTTATAATATCTGTGGATCTGACTCTTATCTGATGCTCTACATCCATATACACGTATCTACATCATATACGGGCAAGTAGCATACTGGTATTTCCACTTTTTAGTCCTTAGTGTCCATAATACAGCAAAATTTGAATGCATTTGAGCTGCGTTTTCTTGCGTCCAAGGCCGTTTTAGATCGTCGGCATAGTACAAAACAGTTGCTCTCATCTGGCAGTTACTTTCTGACATGTTTGCTCAACTTTTTTGGGATCAAAAAAACATGAACAAAATTCGACCAAAAAGCATGAGGTACCCCTCATGGTTTTCATCAAAAATTAAACGATCGCGTTTTTCACCCCAAAAATGGAGACTTTTCCTATGATACATATCAGACCAAATTGGTCGTAAAGGTCGAATGCAATACTGGAAGCTTTTTCTATGAGACTTGTATATGCTAAATTATGACATATTCGCAAAAAACCGGTTTTGAAATGTTTGCAAATTGCTCATTATTTTCGGTCTGAAAGCTGAGTGCAACCAGTATCATTCGATGCGCCTTCATTGACTCTTCATAAATGCATTAGAAAGTAAAGTATAACAACGACAATTTCCATAGTCAAATTGAGCAAAAACATTTAAAGAATGTGAGATCAAGTCAAATTTGAACATGAAAATACTTACTGCACAATTGCAAATTAAAGTGCAGCAGTTACGGCTGCCACCACGGCAGAAGACCGAAACCAAATCTACTGGCCGTGACGTCGGGTAGGTCGCCCTCTCATTTTTCCATACCACCGTTTTTTTTTTTTTTTTTTTTTTTTAGCATTTTTGCAAGACGCGTTTAGTATCAAACCATATTGGTTTTGGAACTCTTTTGATTGAAAATAACACTCTAACTTCTGATAACACGGCCTTGCATTCTTAAAAGTACTTGATACTGCTTCTTTGAAGTGGAATATAGTAGGTGCCATTCAATAACGAGCACAGAAAGATGTAGAACAAGCATTAATCGAATTTGTTTATTAGGTTTCGATAATTTTTTGCCTGCTGTTTGATGTCGGTGCTGCTGCCATTACTTCTTTGCTATCTCTGCTGCTTGCTACTTTGGTTTATTATGTCTGGTAGCTGCTTCTTTGGTCTCTGTCTCTGATGGTTGCTTCGTTAATCTTTGTCTGCTGGTCTCTGGTGTCACCCGCTCTTCGGTTATTCTACGATGATGGTGTTGCTGATGGTGTTGCTGCTGCTGCTAGTCTGGTCTTTCCTGGTCTACTGTCTTTGGTGCATGCTCGTTCTCTGACTTATATCCGGTGATTGCGTATTCTCTGGTCTATCTGTGTCTGTGGTAAGTGGTAAGTATATTTTTTCTTCTGGTCGCAATGATATAAAACCTCTTTGAACGTTTGTATTGTTGCTTCCTTTCTCATGATATTGCATTCATGATGTTTATTTTGTTGCGCTTTCTTTTTCTTTCGTTGGCTGTGATATGATCAGCTCAATGGATGCTTGCAATGTTGTTGCTTCGTATGTAGAAACAATAAGCATGATGTGCAGCTATATATCTGTATTGCCTTTGTAATATTACTTTGTTATATGGCCGTGGGTTGTTGTTTATGTTGCCTTTGTCGCTTCACATGAAACAACGTTAGTCACTATGTTGTACTGCACACTTATAATACTGCTGTTGCTCCTGCAATTGTGCGTGTTTTTGTTGCTTACATCCGACTATTATTACCATGTACATTGCTCATGTATGCATTTTTGTTGCAACAACAGCCAGCTGTTCTGAACATCTTTGATGTTGTATTTGTTGTTATGGCTTTCTTATGACTCACCTTTTTTGTGTGAGTGTTCCTTTTTTGCCTACATACTACTATACTCCTATAGTAGTATGTTCTTTTCCTCTTTCTTTTATTCTTATTATGTTTCTTTGAAGCATACCTTTTTTTTACGTTGTGTGGATGTGCCTATCCCTGAAGCTCAACAAGACTCTATCCGAGGCTAGGAGGTAGATAGGCTGCCTTCACTTGGTTATCACTACTTACTTTAGTGATGATTGAGGGTCTCAATGCCAGAATTTAAAGCTAGGTGATGTAAGTAAGGCATGCTCTAGCGCCTGGGGGAAGTTTGATGATAGCAGCGGCTATATTGTTATTATAGCGGCGCTTAAAATTTTGCCTCACCTCAAAACAGGGGGAAACCCTCGCAAAATTTTTTTTAGGTCAGCGGAGTTTTCAAGCGATTTGATTGGCCCAGATGTTGAAGTACCAAAGGACTTTAGCTAGTTGATTTTCTATTGATCCCCTATTGATTTGCCATTTACCATGACTATATGTTTCTAATAAAAATCTATCGAAATAAACAGGATTCAAATCTCTCTTTGTTCTAAATTAAGATAAGATGCAATTATTTGACTTAGCATCCACTAAACAGTTTCGTGTGAATGATGTCGTTTAAATTCAATATGTGGAGAAAGTGATACTTGTTGTGCCAGAAGGGCTACAACTGTCTATAAAGATTAAGGTATTCTTGATGGGTAGATATGTCTGTGTTGTGCAACAACATGGACAAGCTATGATAAGTGAAGTGCATCTCAGCTATCTAAATACTGAGGTTCACCAGATGTGATAAGCGTTGTACAAGATAAATTGCTACTTTGGCATTCAGAACTTAGTATAAATAGAATAACTCTTGTCTTCATCAATAAATCTTTAGTTTTTGTGTCTGATCTTATTCAAATAAGTCTTTTCTTGTTTTTATAATATTGAACATTTTTTATAAGCTACAAATAATAATCCTTTTATTCTTTGTGCTTAACAATACTATCGGTAGTACTAGGGCAACACTACATTAGGTACTTCCAGGTCCTCTCGCTACCAAATGCCCTACCAAACGTACATTGTTATTATTGGTTTCCAACATGTTCCAATTTAATGGGCTGCTATCTTTTACCTCACATTGAAGATTTTGAATGCGCAAAGAAGTATTTTCAGCTGTTCATTTTTGGATCTTACAAAATCATGTTTGCAATATTAATGTTAGAGCATTGAAAGTAACATGTTTTTATATTTATAGTAAAATCTTATGAGGAAAACGATGATGTAGTTGGATTTTAGATTGGATAGTGAGTTGTTGTTTAGAAATGGATGATTCTCAAAAAGAGACAACTCTGAGTAATGAGGTACCGTATATACAAGAACCTGTTCGCTACCAGCAATCACTAGCTCGAAGAGTTAGGTGCTGGAAAACGTTGTATTATTCAAAACCGCGTGGCTGTATATCGCTTTGTTTTGGCGTGGCAAAGGGTCAACGGTGTGCAATGCTTTGACAAAAGGGGGAATAGTTTTTTATTCCCTATGTTGATGCTAGAGACTTCATATCAGAGCAGTTACTATGTGCACACTTTAGGGGTTGCTAAGCATATAAAGGGGTTTTCAGTCGCTTCATTAGTTGTCAAATGATTAAGCGAGAAAACTGTAAAGTATCCAGTATATAAAAAGCCGGTTCCTATACGTTAGTGTTTCGTATTTAGAGGAAAATACTGACCAGCGTTAGAATTAGCCAAGAAACAAGTATGAATATGAAAAGCCACATTCAGTTGGATTTCGATTCTTCAAGCACTCTCTGCTAGTGTTTGATTCCTTCAGGCAATCCGCTTGGCCCTTTTCAGTCAAGATAAGGCTTGTTTGTCAAACAGACAGCAACCGCTTTCTCTGACGTGAAATAACAAGAAAGACAATGACGATTATAAGGATGGACAAGGTGTCGATAGCTTAAATATTGAAGATTTAGGAAAGTTTAAATGTACCACATGCGCCGTTAATTACTAACTTCTCGCAGAGATTAAGAAATTAAGAATTGTTTTGTAAATCCAGGACCTCGTACGAGTGAAAATTAGTTTTCATTCATTTGGGACAAACTTGTTGTGAATATGCGCTCGTTTATCATCGAAAAATATGATGATCAAACGTTGGAAGGACACAGGGGCAATTGGAAGTGATAATTTTGAGCTATACTGAAAGAATACGGCTACAAATTTGCAATCAACTTCATATCGGTCAACAACGCCAAATGGAAAGAAATATAACTGAAATGATTACTTAAAGTAGGTTCTTCTTTTTGTATTACAGTAGTCGCTCTATATAAGGCCGTCCTATATAAGGCTATGCGGGGAATAAGGCTGAAATTTTTCAGGTTTTTTTTTTTACCAGCTATTTAGCCTTAATAGCCTAATTTTATATAAGGCTACAGATTCTAAAAATTTTAGCCTTATTTCATAGTGGTGATCGCTGAGATTGAATTTAAGGCCAATCAGATAATAAAAAATATATAGCTTTTATTGAAAAATAACACATTTAAACAAAATAATCACGTAAATCTGTTTGATTTTTCTCTGCTACTTCCTCCGATCTGATATCGTTCAGATTCCTACGGATAGTTTTCAGCATAGACTTTTCTTTTTCATCCATTGGGATGGTATGGTACAAGATAGTTTCATACGCATGCTTCAACTTCTCTCTTATCTCCTTCGTATCAACATCGTAAATCTCTACTGGTTCTTCCTCTACCTCAAGCTCTTGTGATCCATGGGTAACATCATCGCCATCCTCAAATTCAACAATCACGGGATTAAAAACGATTGCATCAGACTCATCTGCATTTAGATCCAAGTCGTTTACTTCAGTTACCAATTGAACCCCATCATTACTTCTGTTTCCAGGAAGTTCAGGGATGATTTCGTTCAACTGGCTGACTAGATCATCGTCTAAAGGTAGCTCGAAAGATGGGAGTACATCCTCCGAGTCGACTCTCTGTCTCTGAGCAAACTTAAAATCAAGGATCTTCGTATGATCCCAGCAATTTTGGATTGTTTGAGGCTTAACTTTGATCCAAGAATCAGCAAGAAAATACAGAGCATCCACCTCATCCATTCTGTATTCCTCGGTAAGATCAAGGCTTACCCCAGCAAGATACTTGTTCACTGCCCTGTAGTATTGGTGCCAACGAAACTGAGCCTTGAAGTTCGCAATGATTCCTATCGAGTGTGTGATTAGAGATGAGTACGTATATCAATGAAATTTGTTGATTTACCGGCATCCAAAGGCTGCAACTTGCTTGTTGTGTTTGCTGGAAGGAAAATCAACTTAATATTGCTGAATTCTTCTTTCAATTTATGCACTGAAGCATTGTCAACCAAGAGAGCAACTTTTCTTCCGGCGTAAACGAAAGACGCATTCAAACGTTTTACGTACTTCCTAAAGATGTCGGTGTTCATCCATGCATTGGGAGATGAATGGTACTCCACGTAATGGGATTGCCCGATGTTGGTGGTTCTTCTGTACAAAGCAGGTTTTTTGTTTGCTGCCTTTGGTGTCTTTCGTTTCCCAATTACAATGGGGTGCCCTTTATAGGATCCATCATAGTTGGTGATTAGTCCAACTGTGAATCGGTTCTTGCTTTTTCTTGAACCACCTAAAGGTTCCTGACAAATGGTGCGAGTTGGTTGTTGCTCGTAGTATAAGCCAGTTTCATCAAAGTTGAGAATATCTTTGGGATCATATGGCTCCAACAATTCTTCAATCTTTCTGAGTTCTTCGACAATCTTAGATGATGTTAAGTCGACTGAGCTTTTTTCACCATATAAATGTCTTGACTTGACACCAATTCTCTTGAAAACATCGGTTAGCCATCCATCTGAGAAATGGATTTGCTTATTCTTTGGCAATTCATGCATGCGGTACTTTCTGTGTGCGACTACTTTTGCAAAAGCTGCAATAGTTCCACGATTGACAGGAAGAGATTTTGCATTCATGGCTTGAATGTACTCCAAAATGTCATTGTCCAATTGTGGCATCGTCAAGGCTCTGCTGCTTTTTCCCTTCAAATTTCCTCCTTCGTAAGCTTTGATCACCTTGTCCTGTGAATTCAAGACGTTCGATACAGTTTTTTGCTTGACTGAGTGATGAAGGTTGAATTCCTTTTGAGCCCATTGACCGAGTTGCATTTGCGTCAGATTAGGAAAGTGCATGTTGTGCATAATAATGCGATACTTTTGCTCGATTGTGAGGCGATCTCTTGATCTTTGATTAAGGCACATGATAGGATATTACGTTCAATAGAAGTAAAATATACAGATAAATGAATGTTACTGGGGAGGTATCAAGTTGATTTATTTGATCAACTATTATAGTAATAGATTCTACGCGCACGACTTTTTTGACAGAAGTCACGCGCGCCAGTTAAGGTTATGCGGGCAATAAGGCTAAAAAAACCTCGCCAAAAAAGTAGCCTTATATAGAGCGACTACTGTAATTCTTCCACTATAAATTTCATCTGACTGCAGTAATGGACTACTATATTCCAGTCGAAAGACATTCGGTCTTGATCAAATTCGATGGGTTTCTAAAGCGCTGTTTGCGAATACATTGCTCAACAGTCTTGATTATATTTGTTTTGGATACTGATGCGGAAGCTACCAAATAGCATTATAAATCAGCAATAATCAGAATTCCATTTACCAATTCCACCCTTTAGTAGTGTTTCCCAAGAGAATGTGATATAAATGACGGCGTTATAGCTTTTCTAAACTGACCGCAATATGCAAGATATAAGCTTTCAATTATAACCTACGTGAATGCTATTATTCAATGCTATTTTTACATACAATAAAGTTTTACAGCTGTCATAAAAATTGCTCGCTTGTGCAACAAAACCCATTAATTTAATGTTCAGCAGCAGCAATGTCCATACATGCACATGCATTCTACATGGAAATACGACAAGTATAGTTAGCGAGCTGCTCATATCTTTTTCCTTGTGGATTTTACATACATTCGGATCGAACGATAGGCTGTTGATGCGATCGTGACATCACGTACAAGCAAGCATCTGCCTGTTATCTTTGCCATTCGAACTTCCTTATTGATGAGGAGCCCACCATGATGAAGTTGTTGCAACGAAACGTGCCTTACCACAGCGATGAGCAGATGTCTCTCTCTTTCATATGAGCCTTTATATTAATGGTATGCCTGGTATAGGCCATTCTCTTTTGAACCATCTATGTAACACTGTAATTAGAGAATCTATCTCGTTTGTGAGTGACACGACAGATTCAGTAACACAAAGCCTTAAAAAAGTCATTTAATCCGTTCTGCAGAGTAGTATAGCATCAATTCTGTTGTTCACTAAAGAGTTGATAAGCAATTTGTTATTTATTTATGTTTATTAACCATGAGAGCGTTTTAGTGAATCATTAAAGACGCTCGCTGTAAGATCTGTAAACAATAAGAACTAATCAAATGTTTGCCTCAATGTGTAATTTGTCATACCCTCTTGAATTTTGATAAGCAAAAGTTTCTCTTTATAATATGGATGTTTTATAAGCTGAGTTAATACAAAATACTTTTTTGTTAAACATTCTTGATTTCCCTTTCTTTCTCGCTTGAAATACGTATCATAAAATGTCTACGCTGCCTATGCCTCCTCCAAAGATTTTATGCCGAGTGCAAGCCCTTTATGCGTTTCATTCTGAAGAGAGCACCTGTTTGAACTTTGAACAGGGAGATCAGATAGAAGTCTTATCCAAGCTGGAATCTGGATGGTGGAATGGCTGGTAGGATAGCATGCTGGCATGCGTAATCTGATAATCTAAGCTTTAATATGCAGGTGCAACGGCCAGCGAGGATGGTTCCCTAGCAATTATGTTCAGGTTATTTCTGAAGAGATAACCGTGTTTCCAAGACATCCAGAGAAATCACTCCCGCCACATCCAGCAAACCATATGCAACAGGGAAGCAGATTCTCGATACACAGTTCAAGCAGCTCAGAAGTCAGTCGAAACAATGCTAATCTACCAGACGGCTGGACGATAAAAATGACAGATGACGGCAAGTCGTGGCTCTATTACAATGAGTACACTGGACAATCTACTACCCAGAATCCTCATCTTTTCAACTTTGATGATGCAGCAATTGACACTAGTAGACGTAGCAGCGTATATTCGAACGACGATCCACGGGAATTTAAGAATCTTCAGGAACCACCAGAAGAATTGGAGCGGAAGCCAGCCCCACCGACAGTAAAAGAAGTAAGCAATCAAACGTACATAACATCTATTTGGCACTGATTGCGGTATATAGCTCATGGATAACTGGGTTGAGAGAAAAACACCTCAAGGCAGACCTTACTTTTGCAATTTAATCACTCAAGAGACAACTTGGGATTACGACGAAATTGACACTGAAACAGGACATCTGGTATGAGCTTGTGCCCTGTTCTAATGTTACTATTCCCACCTAATTTTTGTCATACATATATTTTTTTATCCAGAAAAAGACGCAAGAAGAAAAGCAGGCATCTGATGACGATGTAGAAAGCGACGTCGATAGCGACCTCAATCAATCAAAGCATTCGTCGATCCATAAAGAGGATTCACTCATAGGAGAAGTATTTACATGGAACAAGCTTGCAACAGACATTGCATTTGCTATCCGCCAGCTTACATTATCAACACAAAAAGGCGTTTACGCAGATCTTCAGCCAAAGACTGCCATTATTGTAGAGGCTGTACGACTCATGCTGTACGCTTCTAATTCATTAGAGAAGGATTCTCTATTAATGCAAACCTCAAGCTTCCGAGAACCTAGAAGAGCTGTCATGTCATCACTATCAAAGTTGGTATTATCTGCTAAAATGGGATCCGAAATATCAGAATTCTCTTCATCAGCTGTGTTCATCTTCCAAAAGGTCCAGCGTGATGCCAACGATGTACTGGTGGCTGTGCGAAACTTTGTTACAATTTGTCAGCAGCACAATGTTACCGTGAATCCCGTGAACCCTCGGCTCTTGGATGATATCTCACAGCTGCCCTTTGAACCATCGCTCTCTTCACCACATCCTCTCAAAATCACATCAGCGACATTAAGTAACAGTGCAAGCACCTCCAGCGACGGAAAGGCCAAAAGTGCAGATCCTCCTACGCCTACGTCTCTATTACAAAAGACAAAATACCTGCTGAATCAAGACTTGGTGTCCAATTTGAAAGCATATTCTTTGCAAATTTACGGCACAACAGAAGAATTGACACAAATTGCTTGTTCCATTCTGGAAAAGCACGATGAAGCGCAAAGTGGCAAGCATTCTGACGATAAGGAACGATCTCTAGCTGTCTTTATATTCAGAACGCTCTCAAATCAGATCACTCAATACATTGGCATTTTGGACAATATTCAATTGGATGATTCGGATGGAAACACAATGCCTTCTATTCACAGCTACTTAGCGAGTCGCCAGAACCTTTATACAGCGATAGGTCATCTTTTTGGAGCCATACAAACACTGACAAACACCCATGTGGATGTGGAAAAGGCAGTGGACACAATCAGCCAAGCTATAATGAATGTAGAGACCGCCATTAAGGGTATCCAACAAAATGTCATTGAGATGGTTAATGAGCGCAAGGTTGCCATGGGGATGAGCAGAGATGATTCAGTTGCTTCTATCTTGTCCGTCATGTCTCCAACAAGCTCATCTTTTTCAGACAGAACTGCCGTTGATTCAATCGCTGAATTAGGAATGAGCACCATAGGCGCTCGTCTCACTACGGATGAAATCAGCCACGAATTCAATCCAAATGTTCGCCGCATGACCGTAGCAGACATTGCCTCACGCAGAAGACAACAGAGCATACGATCAGATGACCGAACCACGGAAATCGCCATGAATGAAAGTCTGAGCACTGATCTCAACTCGAGTGATATTGAGTTCGGCGCTGATAGCACTGTCAAAGGTGGAACACTTCCTGCTCTTGTGGAACGATTGACAGTGCATGATACTTTAGGTAATTGCTGCCCTGGAACAAAGGCTATTCAATGATGGCAACTTAACATTTTCTGTATCACATCCTTTAGACACAAACTTTATTGCCACTTTTTTACTCACGTATCGCTCTTTTTGTACCACTGAAGAATTTATCAGCCTGCTGGAGAGCCGTTACAACCTGCTCCCGCCTGAGCGACTAACTCCTGAGCAGCTTGAATTATGGACCGAGAGAAAACAAAAGCTGATTCGTCTCAGGTAGAGTGTAGCACACACAGTAATTCATGGGTAGCTGCTTATTATTGATATAGAGTCTTCAATGTGCTGAAGAACTGGCTCGAAAACTCGTACATTGATGAAGACGAGTACCTGCTGAGCCGCATTGAACACTTTACAAACACCAGCATTCGAGATTCTTCAGCGTTCGCGGCAAACCAGTTACAAAAGCTTATTCGCAGACGACTAGAGAGTGCACATGGCGAGATGAAGAAGATTGTACAAAATCCCATTTCTGGACCAGACCCTATATACCCTAAAAATGTAATGAACATCCAGCTGTTTGATACAGACCCATTGGAGATGTCAAGGCAGTTGAGCATCATGGATTTCAAGCTATATAGTAGCATTCGTCCTATTGAATGCCTGGGAAAAGCCTGGTCTCGAGATGGCGCAGATGGATCCATTGCAATGAACATCAAGCAATCTATCCAGTATTGCAACCGTCTCACAGCTTGGGTCACTGAGAGCATTCTACTACACGAGGAGAGCAAGAAGCGATCCGTTGTAGTCAAATATTGGGTCCAAGTAGCAGATGTAAGTGCGCGCCAACCGCTGAATATGTACCACCTATTCACAATTGTGTTTCATAGTACTGTCGTAGTATAAACAATTACAATACATGTATGGCAGTTTTGTCCGCTTTTGACAATAGCGCAGTGGGCAGATTGAAGAAAACGTGGATGGTATGTAGCACGTTACAATCGCAAAAGAGCCAGATACTGATAGTATGAAACAGATGACAAACAAGAGCACTATCCAAACACTAGCCCAAATCCGAAAGTTGCTTGGTGCAAACCGCAATTTTACAGAATATCGTGAGATTATCCACTCGGTCAACCCACCCTGTATACCATTTTTAGGTATATACCTGCAAGACTTGACCTTTATCGAAGACGGTAATCCAGACTATCTTCACAAGTCGAGTAATTTGATCAATTTTGCCAAGCGACAAAAGACGGCAGAGGTCATTCGAGAGCTTAAGCAGTTTCAAAGCTTTGCATACAACTTTCACACTATACCCGAGTTCCAAGACTATATCAGAGGTCAGCTAGATCAAGATAGAGATGTCGATAGACTGTATGAACGAAGCTTGAAGCTAGAGCCAAAGCAAGTAGACACCACTCCCAGCACACAAACATATTCATCGTACACCTTCTGATAACGTAACTGCACTCTATTTCTATACTAATAAAAGTATCCCTTTTGTCTGTTGATAATCTTACAATCAAAGAGTAAAATGTCCTCCCTCGTACATTTGTTATCAGCCATTTGATTGTTCCTGATGAATTAACGATAGATGGTCGGGTGCAGAATCAGTTCAACTAAGCAGGCAGGATGGTCCTTTAACCAATCAAGAGCATACATCCTGAGGGTTCAGTTTTGTTTAAATAATTTTTTGTACGAGACAGGTTTCTTTTTAGGTGGCCTTTGTATAGCTATCATGTCCACGAGAAGCACCAGCAGCAGCAGCAGCATCAACCATACAAAAGAGGTTGCACCTCTGATACCCAGCATTGCTCCTATACAATTTTTGAGGCAATCAAGTTCCATGCTAGATTTGTAACTATCATAGTTGTGAATAAATAACGCATCACTGCTAAATGACACTTTTCTTTCATTCACTCCATCTAGACCTATTAGAACTACAGCAACAGCCGTGCTATATTACCATCGCTTTAATGAATTCATGAACAGCAAAGAAAAAGTGATAAACATGGATGGAGCACTCACAGAAGAAGATGCTTTATATCGGAATGAAGAGGTAGAGCACAATCCCATATCCAGCCATCATCACAAACGCTAAACCATCAAGTAGTTGTTGACCACGACTTGCTTGCAATTGGCTTGCAAAGCAACAGAAGTGCCTAGAAAAGTAAGAGATCTCGTCAATGTTGGTTACAGGTAGATATCCCCCTGTTGATATAAACATTTGCACTCACACCGTCACTGTTAGATACTACCATCCCAAAGGCACAACATTGAACGTAGATGAGAATTATTTTAAAATGAGATCATCATTAGTGACAAGCGAGCTTTTGTTGGTTAGAGCATTGGGATTTGATTTGGAAGTGGAGCTGCCATTTGCATACTGCTTGAATGTTTTGAGAGGATTGGGATCAATTCGATATTTCATGACAGATGAAACCAAGAAGACGAGCAAAAAACACCATCATCATTCTCACACTACTCAGAAAGAAGTTTGGAAAAAGATGGAAAACGGTAATATCAGCAATGCTGTCTGTTGAGACATACTCTAAGGCTATGTTTGTAGATATGGAGCCAGAAATGAGTGCCATTGCTAGATTGGCGTGGATGTATGTTTGGGACAGGTAAGATTGACACATCTCTGAGTGGATATGCCTTCTAACAAGGATCTGCACTACGCAGCTTATGCTCCCCCAAGATTGCCCTGACTCACTCAATACCAGGCATTGGACTTGCATGCCTGTATCTTGCATTACGAACCTCTGAAGTCGAAATGTCAATGTCCATGAGTGAATATGTTGACATGTGGGGCGCTTCTGAGAATATATCAGTGCAAGCAGTGAGGGATGTTGTGACAGATCTGCTAGACTTTTACGATCATTTCCCTGACATAACCTCACCAACAATAGAGACTTGATAAAATAGCATTAAGACAGTAATTTTTATGTTTATATCTGATCAAGCAATGGATAGACTACAATACACCCATATTCTCCAATTTATGACGCTCTATATATAAAGTAATATGTAAATACGTGAACCTAGTCCTAGAAATCAATAAACTTACGAGTTTGTCTGGCATCTGCATCTTCTGCCTCGCTGTCTTCTCCATCGATATAGTCATCAATGTTGAAGTCCCGAGGAACTTCTTGTGTTTGTACAGAGGGAGCAAATGGCATGCTTCTCAGGTTATCAACAATCTTTGAACTATAAAGCACAGCATAAGTAGACATATCTCCATCGAGATCAGACTTACATGCACTTACATGATGTGATCCAGGTATTCACGAGTGTTGTGGTTGGTCATATTGTTTGATGGCACTTCTAATTTGTATTCAGGGCCATAATACTCAAAGTAATTGTTATAAGGCAACTCTTCCTGTGTTAAATCTTCTCCTACAGCCAAGCCAGTTTCAAAAGTCCATGTTCTTGCAACATTTCGAATTGTATATCCACCGCCACCCACCATCATCATAGGTATATTGAAGGATTTGATGAACTCTACACAAGAGGCATGTCCACGCATTGATAGGTTGAAGCATCCCAAACGATCTCCTGACAATGAATCACCACCGCATTGAAGCACAACAGCGCCAGGCCTATACCAGTCCATAATATGCTGAATCACAGGTTTAAACACACTTTTGTAAGTCTCATCGTCTATACCGTCTCTCAATGGCACATTAACTGCATAACGTTTGCCACTTCCTAACCCAGTATCCTTTGCAATAGCCCCATCAGTCGTCACATTCATAAAACTTTTAGACGGTAGTATACGTACTTTAATGTCGCCTGTGCCAGGAAAGAACTCTCCAAACTTGTGGAAGGAACATGTCATGACACGATCTGTTGTGTAAAACGCCTCCTCGACGCCATCACCGTGATGAACATCGATATCAACATAGAGCACACGTTGGTGATATCTGCAATACCGGGATCAGCAACTCATGCACATACATCAGATTACATACCTACCTCAGCAATTCCAAAATACCCAATACAATGTCATTCACATAACAGAAACCGGAAGCTTCAGTCTTTTTGGCATGATGGAGACCACCAGACCAATTGATGGCAATATCAGCCTCACCATTGAGCAATTTGTTAGCAGCACCTATTGACCTGTTAAAAAATCAAGTTCATTAGATGAGTATGGTGCACGTACCAATAGACCCACCGGCAGATATAGAGCAAAATTCAAACAAGCCTTCAAAGACAGGGCAATCTTCACCAACATTGACTGATGAAACGTGTGAGTCTTTGCGCTATCTGATCTATCGTTTGTGTCATCTTACATCGAGCAATGCCTTGTTCCAAACCACCATGTTGCATAGCTAGTGATTCCAAGTTGTCTGGTGTCACTGTTTGTAGAAAGTTGACATATTCATCTGAATGGAATCGAGTCATTTGATAGGCAGTGCAACGAGTGGGTTTCTAATGGTTTCGTGAGTGAGAGTCAAGGAGGGCACATAGTGCAAGGCAATTACCACAATGTCCAACTTTTTGTATAAACCGTAATTGACAACCATGTTGTGAACCATGTGCATACGCTTGGGCTTCATGTAGTGCCCTACAAAACCAGGATTAGAACGAAAGGGCGCATATCGAGACAAAAGCGTTGGTCTTTACCAGGCCCATAATTGAAATTTCCAACATCGTCTGATACAAGGAGGTGTGAATTAGGCACGATATACACAGGCATCATCCCAGCGTGAATTCACTTACGATCGTAAAAGTAAGACACTCTCTTCTTGGCACAGCTAGCTAAACTATAAGAATTCGACATTTTATCTTTTTCGAAAGAGTGAGATATGCGGAAAGGACTATAGAAGAGAGAAAAGTTTCAATGGAGAGCAAAATGAGAAGGCGGAGAAGAGAAGAGAAGGGGGAAGAGCAGCTTTCGTGATGGAATGAAGCCCAATCAACGGAAGAAGCATTGTGGACAAAGAGTCACGGACAATCGTTTATTGAAAGGATAAAGGAACGCGTAGTAGGATGCAGGATAAGGATTTTTCAGTTCAAAACTTGCCATGTTGCTCAGATTAATGATATACACAGCACGCATCAGGATTTAAAGGATTTGATTTTGTTGTGAGAGTCCATCGTAGAGATTTAAACGATAGTTCTAGGATTCCCAATGTGTGTCTCTATGAAATCAATTCATATGAGGATAGACTGCATACTAGCAATACATCGGATTACTCAAAAGGATGCAAAAACACAGCGACATTTGGGTATATTTGAGCCATGATTTCTCGCGTTAGAAGGCGCTTTAGACCTCCAGAATAGCACCATACAATTGCCTTCGACTAGCACTTACTTGCTGACACCTTTGCTCAACTTTTTTGGGACAAAAAAATCATCACCAAAAAATTGACCAAAAATTGACCAAAAAGCATGAGGTATCCCTCATGCTTTTCATCAGAAATCAAACGATCACGTTTTTGACCTCAAAAATGAAGACTTCTACTATGGCATATATGAAATCAAAATGTTTCTATCGATCCAAAGCAGCCCCTGAAATCACTTTTTATAAAATCTTGCTATGCAAAATCTCGACATTTTGGCCAAAAACGTTATTTCATATCTTTCAAGATTGCTCAATAAATTTGTTCAAAGCACCTCTTTTAATCAACACCATTGGGTGCGCCTCGAAGAGTAGTCTAAGAAAGCTTAAGGGAGTATAGGATGATCATCATAGTTCACATAGTCGAATTTTGCAAAATAGTTCGATCAAGTCGAAATTTGATCAAATATTCCCATTTCAAGGAAAAAAAAAAACGACAACAACTGAGTTTCAATTGCTTTTTGGCGGTGGCCGCTGCTTGATTGATGAAATGCCCTGCTTATGAAGGCATGTATGCGAAGTTTATCAGAAGTCAATTGCCAGTTGAAGAGTACTATAACGTGCTTTGCCCACTTCACTTTTCTCCTGACATGTGTTTTGATATATGCCAGAGTTATTGATTGCGAATGGACTAGTTACATGTAGCACCTGCTGATGCGAAATGCGATGTCGTCAAAATTGCATATGATGCTTCAAGTGCTAGCTAATTTTTAGGTTTAATCTGGAGGACTCTAATACAATGATAACGCTGCACATGCTATAAAACAATGAAAAATAGACATCTCAAACAGCGAATATGAAGAGATGTCAAATCTAAATAGCCGACTGTGATACTAACTGAGCAGTCGAGAGCTACAATTTCATATCTTCACAGAGGGTTGCTAATCCAGATGCCAATAGGTATGGAAAGAAGAGCTATTTCTTTACTAAACATCTGGATATGCAGGAAGACAATTGATGAGCATCTCAGGTTTCCTGAAAGTGAAGCAAATCCGTCAGTTGGCGAATACCTATCAACCAAAGTAAGGTTAGAAGTATAATGTGCCGTTTCAGTTGCTTCCTAGGGCATGCAAGAGTCAATGCGGTAAAATTCGGGCAGTTCAGCACTCAGATCCATATGAACTTTTATAACATTGGTATAAACTCATATATGTACCCGTTAGTATCTTTGAAAATCGCCAAACATAAAGTCTTAATACATCGTTTCTATTCGGAAAAATCACCATGGAAAAAAAATTTAATGAATTTTTGGGCATGCTTGACTTAAGCCGGAAGCTATACAGGCTATATGACATCGGAATTGTAGGGCGATAAGCCAAGGAGGTACATTGCGTACCTTGATTATTCACGCCCCGTACAATGGCCCTGATTTCACATGACTGTGTGTACTATTGCAATGTTTTGTCTTGAAAAGAGAGAGAAGAATAACATGTCGGAGGCATGATTGAAAGTAGGGGTAAATGCAATAAGCTTTGATGCAAATGTAGCTGTTTACATCGACATGTAAAGCAAGAAGAATAATGAGGTTTTTTTTTTTTTTTTTTTTTTGCTCAATTAATATAACGCGCATAAAAAAGCAATGTCTGCTACAATGGATGATCATTACGCAATGGGTATCTCACAAGCTTTTGAGTTTGACATTTCAAAACTAGAAAGTGTGAGCAGAATACCCATGACGCATATATCCTATTGTGCCTAAATATGAAAAAAAGGAGAACCCATCACTGCTCTTTTGCTGCCGAGAGAGAGAGAGAGAGAGGTCTAAAATCCAACTGATTTATCAACGTCTGGCCATTGCATAAATTACAGATTTTATATATATATATATATATATATATGCCATCGCTTACAATACCTTGTCATGCTTTCAAAACACTTTTGATAAAGGTGCATCATCTTGATTTTGCTTCCATCAATGAGCGTATTGAATCAAATCTTATCAACCTCTCTCAAATGATGTCTTGTAGAATGAAATGATCGCACAAAAGAGCCATCAAATTTGCTTGATCAGACCAATCACAACCAGCAGTGCTGTTACCTATCAATTTGCATACCGCCTTATCAGTACCTTTTTTTACACTTTGTCTTATCTCAATCTGCTTCCCTCAAGCCTATTTAATTTATATTGATTTTCTCTCATTTCCCTTCCCTTTTCATTTGCGAAAAAAACTGTAAACTTTACCAAACTGAGTACAAACTACTAGCTTTTGTATATAAATACATCTGAATCAACATTTTCAATTTGGCACCTCGTCTCTTTTCTCTTCTTTTCTCTTACATTATGCCTGATAACTCGACATTGGCTGGACCTGAAGGATCTCACACATCATATACCATTGATGCAGGAGACACAGCTTGGGTCATGATTTGCGCCTGTTTAGTTTTCTTGATGGTAAATCATTGCAGCAAATATTGCCGTGTACGACTTTTTTCCATTACCATTGCATTTACTGATCTACTTGATGATCACAGTCGCCAGCACTTGGCTTCTTCTATGCTGGTCTTGCTCGTGCAAAGAATGCATTGTCATTGATGTACTTGACAATTCTATCGGTTGCTGTGGTTTCATTTCAGGTAACCTCATCTCAATTTTGATCCAAATCAATGTGCCTGAGTTCTAACCCTATCTTATCAATTATCTCTATATAGTGGTACCTCATTGGATATTCGCTCACTTTCTCGGCAACTGGTAGCAGATTTATTGGCGATTCCGGTATGCTTAAATGAATATTTCACACCTTGATAATTTAATCTTTGTGCTTTTAGCACACTTTTTATTGCGAGGTGTTGGCATAGAACCAGCAGCAGAAGGACAGACTATTCCTGCCTCTGCATTCATGATCTTTCAAACCATGTTTGCTGCCGTCACTCCAGGTAAAATGTCACATTGGCTATCAGCAACATTTGAAGCTAATTAGACTCTATAAAATAGCTTTGGCCTTTGGATCGGCAGCCGAACGTATGTCGGTAAGATCCTGATTATCATTTTTCTTTTGTTTCCCATCACATGGCACTAATTCATTTCCATTTTAGCTTGGTCCTGCAATTTTGTTTATCTTTGTTTGGACAACTTTAGTTTATGGTAAATCCTCACTACGCTTGTTAATCTAAAGCCATTTAACTTATATCCTTCCTCTTAATCTATAGATGTCATTACAAACTGGGTTTGGGTACCTACTATAAAACCTCGATTACATCAACATGGGATTAATCACATTCATATAGGCGAGCACTGGTTGGCTCTTCCAAATGGGCATCATGGATTATGCCGGCGGTATTCCAGTTCACATCTCGAGCGGTTTAGCAGCAGGTAAATCACACAAAAGCTAGTCTATGCGTAAATATTGATTCGTATCACTTACTGATCATCCCGTTATCCAGTTGCATATGCCATGGTCCTCGGAAAGCGTCGTGATTATCATGAAAATGTAAACACCCCTCACAATGTGTCATTTGTATTTCTCGGTTTGGCTCTCATGTGGTTTGGTAAGCATTCTCTATAACGTATCACTAAGACATTGCATCTAAACATCCTCAAATTGCAGGCTGGCTAGGATTTAACGCGGGCAGTGCGCTTGCAGCAAATGCTCGCAGCGTAAACTCTCTAGTTTGCACACACTTGTCAGCTTGTACTGCTGCCGTTGTCTGGGTCATGTTGGATTATCTCAAAACTCGCAAATGGAGTATCATCGGTCTATGCACTGGGGCCGTTGCTGGGTTAGCTACCATTACGCCTGGCAGTGGATTCGTATCACCTTCAAGCTCACTTGCTTTTGGTGCCATTGGCTCCTTTGTTTGTTACATTGCTATTCATTACAAACACAAGATGCGTATAGATGATTGTCTCGACGTCTTTGGTGGTAAGACAAGATATAAACTCTCTAGCAACAAACAAAACTAAGCATATCTCGTTATATAGTTCATTATGTTGGCGGCCTTGTAGGCTTAATCTTGACGGGTATCTTTGCTCAAAAGAGTATTATTGCTCTTAGTTATCCTGTAGGCACTTTGGATGCTGATATTCCTAATGGTGGTTGGTTAGATGGCAACTGGATGCAAGTTCCTGTCCAGCTCGCTGGTATTGCTGCTGTCTCTGGCTGGTCATTTGTTGTCACGTATGTTACAAGATTCTTTCATGCAATATATACATGCAGACATACTTAACGTTCTTCTGATTTAGTTACATCATCCTGCTTGTTATCAACAGAATTCCTTCTCTTTACCTGCGTCTAGCTGATGAAGACGAAATCATTGGTACTGATTGGGCTGAAATGGGTGAACGTGCCTATGCCTATATTCCTTTTGACGAAGAAATGAACACACCCACACGCACAAGCAATGACAGCAACAGTGAAACCAACGACGAAAAGAATAACCCTCGCTTGAACAGAATCAAAAAATTGCTCATGGTTGACCGCACCACTGTTATCAAGGGCGTTCCTGATCTCATCGAAGAACCAGTGTTAGACTATGGTCAATCCAAAGATCTGGGGGCTTATTCTTTGGGCAAGACTACTTCTGCACATGCTACTGGTGGTGATCTCTTACAAAAGGCATCCGCTAAAATGAGAGACGAACAGCAAGAGCGCGAGCCTGTTCATTTTGATGATCATCCCATGTCAGTCCAATACCAGAGCAAAGGCAGCGATGCTATTCAAGTGGCTAGTACAAGCAGTAGCCCACCCACTTCCAGCAGCAGTAGTAACAACTCTGATAGAACCAAAAAGTAACTGCAATACTAGAGTCCCAACATGCCATCCAACAACACCCAATTGTATATTTTCCACTTATTTCTCCCACATCTACATATTCCATTTCATTCATATAGTATAAATAAAATTTAAACTGTTAGTATTAACATTCTACGCGTATATCATTTGGTAACACTCAAAAAATTGGTCCTATTGCAATGACTTTGGACTAGATCCTCAAGGTTACAAGTTCAGATAATTTACATATGGCAACTTCCTGAGCTGTTCATTCCAGCATAAACGTTCGCCTTGAACGTGATGTATGCACTGTAATTTCCTTTCCCAAAGAAGTATTAATCTTCTCTAGTGCAAATCAACTGAACCACATCTGTCAAATTGTCTACCCACACTCAATTAGCTCATATCTTGGTATATGTCGATCCGCTACTGTTATGCAGTTCGTGATACTGTTTTATCTCCGGGCACATTCTTCTGGTACTCAAACTGTAAACATACTTTGTGCCTGAAATGACAGGGAAACCGATCAACCAGTATGGATTGCAACATGCCTTCTTCTGCTTCAACGCGGAAAAAACAGCCTTCATTTATATATCTTGCGTTTTAAACATTGCAATCAACTCAAAAATATGTTTTGATTTGATAATATTGAAAATTTTAAATCAACATGGACCAGGAATGTTGTTAATTTTGAGCTGCACCAATTTTAAGCTTGATACTTGCAATCGTTAAATATATTTCAGCTTGTTCTTGGAGATGAGATACCTTGAATAATATACACCCAACAATAAGCCATATAACAAACAAGCTGTAGTGTTTGACACCATTTCACAATGATACCACATTTCAACAATTTCCAATGTATGCCCAAATAGCAACAAAAGTTTCTCAATCCAGGCATAATCTCAACGTGAATACCCAGATATTATGAATGGTTCAGTGTGAAATATCTCCCTTTTTCCCAGTTAAAAACGGATATGACAGTAAGCAAACACTGGGTATCATCCATTTTATTCTTTCTCTCTCTTTTCTCTTTCTTTAAACCGCCTGTATCATGTCAATTAAGCCAACCAGATCAATCTTGGTTGATCTGTCGAGTTCTCAGGGCAAGCAATACCCTCTAGAATCTCTCAGAGCACATTTCATGCGTCCGCTCGCCACCATCACGCAAACAGATTATGTCACATCTACCATCACTGCATCCAGCGTACCTGAACCAACGACGACAGACATAGTACCTGAAAGAAACAATCATATTTACGCTGAAGATGTGTGGGAGCACCGTATACATCGGTACCTGCCAGTCATTCTGGCATTTGCCATCATTGGTATATTGACTGTGCTAGGAAGTCTCATCTACTTGGCATACCGTCTCTACCAAGCTTCAGTTCAACGCCGCCGCCGCCGCCGCCAGCAAGCCGAAAATGATAGCCATAATGATGAGGAAAAGAAAGCGATTAGCCCAATTTCGGCTACATTATCCAGCATCATCCCGTGGCTAGCTATACCATCTCCCACTAGGCATCCAACGGACACAGAGGAACCTTATATCGACTTTCAACCACAACAGCGAGAGCCTATTCGATTTGAAAAGTCGGATTTAAAGCGCATCATGGACGACGATATATCATCTTCCACTAGACGACCCTCGTTAGCACCTTCATGGCTGGCCAAATTGCTGCCCAACAAATTCTCTACCACGCTTAGCTTTTCAGGGCCATCACGACGCCACATGTCTCTGCCAATTCTCTTCTCTGGCAACGAACGCCAAGCCATTGACAACCTCAACATACCCATCTCTTCTACATTTGTGCCTATTGACAAGTCATCGCTGACATTGGTGCCTCGCTCTGAGATTTGGCTTGATCCCCATCGACGACGAGGCGTGGATGAATTAGACATGTGGGAGAGGAAGAACAGCGGCACCGAAATCCAAACCATTGCAGTGCCAGAACCACAGCCCATGTGGCGCTTCCCCTCACAACAGAATGTATATCCAGACTCACCAGAATCATTTGAGCGAAGGTATTCTCTGCCAGACAGAAGATCCGTCCATATAGACAGTAGGAGACACTCTATCAGCCATCGCTCATCCACCACCACAATGCAGGAGCCCAACCGACCGAGCCGTAGTACATCCGATGTAGGTTGATTGTGCTATATATAAGCCTAACGTACTAATTTGAGAATGCTATTCATAGTCTATCAAGTACATGTTGGACGAGTTAGTGCACCCCTCTACTTCTGATGCGACTCATTATACTCCATCATCAAAAAATGAGAGTCAAGATGACTTTTCCAAGTATAAAATCACTGTCAAGCTACCCAAACCAAAGCAGGGCGGTGTGAGTGATGTGCGACTTGCTAGACAAGCTTTGGAAACCAGCCGACTCAAGAACAGCAGTAGTCAATGGCTGCATTCCTCTGGAAGCAAAAGTTTCTAATATTCTAATATCTATACTTTATCTATAATCCCATCTATACTATCTCTCTTCAAAGAAAAAAATAGCATGCTATCTTGTAATTCTAACACTTCTCTCCCTCTCTATTCCCAAATAAAATACAATCCAATGTTTTGTACAGACAAGAGATCTATTAGGTCAATGCGGGAGCCCCTCACAGAGCCAAAGTAGCGGGCACGTAATTAGTAGACGCTTGTTTGATTTGCAGATGAATAGACCTTTTCCGAAAATGTATCACAGTTAATTTTACCTTTTTCTCTATTAAAGCTTCATAAATTCGAGTTGGATCTTTGCTACAAGTTAGAAACAAAGCAACTCAATGCCACCTACAAGCAAGCCAACTACTCCATCAGCAGCACCAATACCAAGTGGCATTCCAGATGTCTTTATCATAGATGAACAAAAGATTCAGCCAAACGAAAATACAGAAAAGCAAGAGCTTTATGTGCTGCAGTGGTTAGCTCAAGTTGAACGCGAAAGCAAAGCAGTTGATGTAGTAAGTGTCTTGGAGAGCCTGGCGCATAGCATCAAGTGGGACTCACACACCAGTGATATAGGAAACCTTGAAAAAGGCACAGCCCATCATAGAAAAGACACTGTTTCGACTGATATCGCTCGCCACAGCAAAGCCAAGACGGCCCATTCGCTTTTTGATAGGAAGATGCTATGTGATTCTTTACACCAGAGGCGATACAAGGACACTGTTTGACTCGGTGACAGCATTGCATAGCTTGATAGGTGCCAACAAGAACATTGACAAGGAAACTAGAATGTAAATTGGCAAGCGACATGAAATGCGCATAAAAAAGACTCATTCCTATTTTGCGTAGTGCTGCTATTGCTACAACTGGTGCCATCATGGGCACATCAGGCGGAAAGGTAAGGTTTTGCGTAGGTGTGTGTGTGTGTGTGGATTTCTTTAGATGGCTCATTTACTATGCATAGATTCTATCCTTGTTTGCAGAGACGGCCTTGATATTTCTCAAAGTGCTCAAAAGCAGCAGTGTATGTCAGCATATACAACATGGAGCTGACATCGATACACTAACACTCCCAATATAGAGTTCCTTATTACTGAGATTAGAGACGATTACAGCATTCACACTACTCTTGAAAGGCGCAGGAAAAGCAGCGACAGACCAAATTTTAAAGGATTTGATGAAACAATTGCGAAATGGACTAGTCGACAAAGCACTGGTGGTGCGAGTTGCATCAGCTCAGGTGAGATGACCATTATTATAAACATCTAGTCAATGGGAATGTCTGACGCCTATCTACATAGTGCATGCAAGCAGTCATTCAACATGCAACGCAAACATTCACTCAGCATGATATCGAGGGATTATTACAGCACTGCTTTAAAGCATTTGACAATTCCACTTTTCCAGTACGTCGAGCCATAGCATCGCTGTGCGCCACGCTACTTGTCTTTACGCAATCACAAGCCACAGTGGACCCCAGCAAACCCAACGTAAAGCACGCATCGACAGGCGAGGGACCGAAAAAGACAGAGGAAGCGCTGGGCAAAGGAGTGACACTGATGTCGATTGAGGAAATGCTGGGCCAATTATCGTCCTGCTACAACCGACTGAATGGACCGCGAGAGCTGAAAACAGGCATCATTGAGATATACGCTACACTGTTCGTCCTGTTAGGCACTGAATTTGTCGAGGCCAACTATGCTGTCATCACCAAACACATTCTGTGCGAGATATTGGATCCAAACAAAATCGGCACGGCTTCAGAGGGGGCTTATTTGCGATCTCAGGTTAATTTCTTGCTTCACCATACGATTGGGAAAAGATTGTTGAGTGAGCAGGGTCAAGCCAATGCGATTCGATTGCTGGTCAGTAACTGGATCAAGAAATGGCCCCCTCTGATGGCTAATCAGAATGCTCCAAATAAAGACATTTTGATCTGTGTCACCAACTTGGTCTCTGAGCTGGTGTGTGAGTTGGAAGGAGCCTCCTGTTCCGTGCAGGTAGATGCGCATTGGTACTAATGACGAGAATTACTGTACTCACACCTAGTCCTAGGACGTATTAGTAGAACCGCTGTTTGTGCTATTGACACACACCAGTTTCTCGGTGCAAATGGCTGCTGTGTGGTGCATTCGATGTGTCTGCAATGCCTTGCCTACCAACCTCCTAAATTTACTGCCCAAATCTCTCAATTTGCTCGAAAAGAACCTTGGAAATCTGACAAATCAGGCCACGACGGTCAAGGTATTCCAGCGCACCATTGCCTATTCTTACACGGTGGCAGCCATCATGAGCGTATTTCCAGCCCATCCCATCTACACCTCGTTCGAATTGAGTGCCAGGGCCATGGCGCTTGCAAACCAACTGATCAAGCAGACCAACAAGGACCCCAAGATTGCCAGTGTGCAGGTACAGGTGGCATGGACATTAATTGGATCCATCATGTGTTTAGGGCCTAATCTGGTCAAGATCCACTTGCCTCAGCTGCTGTTGCTATGGAAAAGCACATTGCCTAAACCCACTGGTAAGGAAGCCAACGCCATTCGATCCGAGCCAGAATGGTCCCTCTTGTTCCATACGCGCGAGTGTGTCACTGGCTCCATCTACAGCTTCTTGGCCCATAACAGTCAATCACTGGTAACATTGGACATTGCAAAGAGAATCGCTGCCTTGTTGAACAACACACTGGCGTTTTTACAAACAGCACCGGCTACATTTACTGCTACCACCATGTCGCCTTGCACACCTTATGAAACACGACTGATTGACCAATTCTACTCGTTGAGACGACGTATCTTTCAATGCTTCATCACTATCCGACCACTGTTATCCACCTACGAATCATCGCTCAGTAGTCTGCTTCGAAATTCGCTGTCTGTGTTTACAGAGCCTGATCGCATCTCGCCTTCGTCAGGCGCTCATCACCAAGTAGCAGCGACTGTACCCGGCCAATTTGTGAGTGTATGGAACACGGCTGATGGACATGGCTATGGCGTGACAAGTAAGATGCAAGGCTACCATGTGGACGTAGCCTCTCAAAGCGAAGACGGCAGCGACGAATCTACCAACTCGGGCAAGGAATGGATGACCAAAGACAGATTCGAGCGTATTGAAGAGCTGCTTGAGCGACCCGTGATTGGCTCTCTTGAGCTGGATCCATTTTATGCGTATACCAACATCACCAACTACGATAGTGGCACATCGCAGCAGCAGCAAACACAACAGCAATCACTGCACAGCAAGAACAAGTATGTGATTCCTCAGCCAGTATCTCCCTCTACCTCCTATATTAATGCCAGTATCGAACTGTTTGCCACGCTGTTTGCTAATCAGCCAGCACCAATTCAAGAATCCACATTTGAGCTCATGGTCAAGGTCGTCAAGGACCCCAAATTAGAAAAGAACTCGCCCAAGAGAGCAGCCGTGTTGGTCAATATCGTGGTGGCTTTACTAGGCGCTTTCAAAAACATCATGGCGTTTTCGAAAAAAAGAAAAGGAGAGTCTATCGCCTTTAGTCCTCGTGCCACTCAACTTGCGCAAGAGATCCTGATGGAAGTTGTGATCCACCCTGATCCCTACTTACGAAATGCGGCAAGTGAGACCATTGGCCGTCTTACATCCATTGTGGGCGGTTCCTTTGTAGCAGCACAAATGCAATTACTGGTGGATTTAGTCGTATCTAATCGTGATCCTGATGTGCGCGCAGGCTGTGCTCTTGCTATTGGCTACATTTACACTCACGTAGGTGGTATGGCTGCTGCTGCTCATTTGAAGACTATTGTTGGGATACTGCTATCATTGAGTAGCGATCCTCATCCTGTGGTTCATGCTTGGGCATTGGAGGCCATGGCAATGACAGTCAGTGCTGCTGGTCTCATGTTCTCTGGCTACGTTAACAGTACACTGGGCATGGTTGCCAAGCTGTACCTAAGCGAGACACATGAACCTGGAAGTGGCTCCGTTGCGGTGACCAATGCCGGTATGTCTGTTGGATTCACGGCCTATCAAGAGTTTGGCCGTATCATTTACGAGCTGATTGGCACACTGGGTCCTGAACTGCAAGCGTCTTCCAAAGTAAGAGAGCTCTGTCTCAACATGGTGGAGGAACTCAAGCTAGAGCCTGATGAACGTGTCAATGTGGAAGCCATTCGTTGTATTCAGCACTTTTTGATGTTTGCACCCAAATTCTTAGACACGCGTGAGCTTGTGCCTTATCTCCAGAATCAAATCACCAGTCTCCACCTGCCACTCAAGAAGGCAGCCGTAACTTGCTTATATCAGTTAGTGCAGCGAGATTCAGAGCTTGTGTTCAAGGCAGCTCAGCCTGGACTAGATACTGAACTGTTCAAAATGCTGGATACAGATCCTCAACTGTCAGATGTGAAGAATGTTATTCGAAGCTGGTTACAAGAAACTGCAGTAGCAGAGCCCTCCATCTGGGTCAACATCACTAAGCGTATTGTCACTGGATCTAGTGGCAGTGCAGGTGCAGTCGATGGCGCTGTAAAATCAGCACCTACAGTAGCCCGTGAGCGTAGCGCATCAGATGAAGCAGATGACGACGATGATTTTGGCGATGACGATGCGGATGGATTTGTAGATGATGAGGACAATGCCGATATTGCCACTACGGTCGCTGATGCTTCTGGCATCACAGCAAAGCTATCTGTCAATGTAGAGATCCCACCTCGATGGAGAACACAGCTATTTGCGCTCGAATGTCTGCAGCAGACCATAGAATTGATCTACGCAAGCGGTATTCGTGAGCACTTTGATTTGATTCTGGCTCGTAAACGCAGACAGCAAGCTGGCCTAGGCGATTTCCTAGTGTTCCGTGTGCCTGATTTGATTCGCTTGTCATTCACTGCTGCTACTGCTCACGTCAATGAATTGAGATTAGCAGGCATTAACTTGCTCAAGGTGGTCATTGAAAGGTTTTCACACACGCTAGATGCTGATTTAGAAGATATGTTGCTGTTGGAGCAGTACTCTGCCCAGATTGGTGCTGCTCTGACGCCTGCATTTGGCGCTGACTCGTCATCCGAGATCGTATCCGCTGCTGTACGCGTATGTGCTATCTATGTAGGTAGCGGTATTGTCAAGGATCTGTACCAGCTGGGCCGTGTCTTGAAGCTGCTGATCTCTGCCCTGGACCGATGCAAAGGTGAATCCAAACTAACTGGTGTAGGTGAAGTGAAGGATCTCAGTCCGCATGCCTCTGTTATGGTCAAGCTGTCTGTGCTGAACGCTTGGGCTGAACTTCAGGTAGCAAGCCAAAAGCAGGCCTATCTGAAGCAGGTGCTGCAACCCAATCTCGCTGTGCTGAGTCCCATGTGGCTGCGTGCGCTGCAAGACTATGCTCGTATTCGTTTGGAATCTGATATTGTGGCCTTATCCAGTCGCTCGACAGACCGAATTCAAGCTTCTTCCAACAGCGGTATTGACTCCATGTACTCTGCTGCTACCAAGGACGTTGTGCTGCCCTATTACCGCAGATCCTGGCTCAAGATCATGGAGGCTGTGGCCACGCTGATTGAAACGAGTGCGCCATCCATGACAGAAGCTATTAACAGCAATCCTGATTCTGAGCAATCAGAGGACCATCCTTCAAATCTGTTTTACATCTTGTTTGGTCTGTGCATGGAAAGCCTGTCTCGCATCTCTAGTTCCAGCAGCAACAAGTACGACAATTCTACCATTCCCATCTGCCTGCGAGCCCTGCGTACATTTGTGCAGCCTTCACTTGCTGGCAAGCAGTTTGTGCCCAAGTCTGTGTTTCTAGAATTGATGAATGTGTTTGACCGTTTGATTCAAACAGAAGGTTATCGCATCCAGCTCATTATTATCGAAATCATACAAAGACTGATTCAGTCGTACGGCACAGCATATCTGTGCAGTGATTTGGAAGGTGAAACTGACTATCACATCATGGACGTAACACTGGACCCAGACGCCTTTCCTGCCACGGCCAAGCTGTATTACTTGCTGCGACTCTTGATCAACGTCTTTTTGCAAAGCGTGCCCAAACTGTCCAACAAGCCTGCCTCGTCTCGTCGCTCAGCGCATGGTTCAAGAGAAAACCTGCCCTTATTGTTAGGCCCTTCCCTAGACACGCTTACTCTCCTAGTCGGCATCACACCCAAGAGCTACAAGGTGGATTTGCTGGCCATTTGCTTTTACATCTTTTCTGAAATTCTGACAGAAATCAAGTTTGAGACTACCTTGGCACCCAGAGTTCTAGTCTCTCTCAAGGCTGTCTTCCATAATTTTGAATCAGATTTGACCACTGACGATGTCAATTCCTTGTCAAGAGTGACATGTGCCATCATTCATACCCTGCTGGATGATTTCTTTGAGTGAGTACCCACGCACAGCATAGCATAGCCGCTGTCAAATGCTAATAGAGCTCATTCGATAGGATCAAATCTGTTGCATCGCAAAAGAACAGACTATTGGCTGTCGTGTTGATTATGACAGGTTGTCCATCAGCTACATTGAGAGACGGAGAAGGCATCAATGTGTTTGTGAATACACTCAAACAATCGTTAGCATGCGATGATGTAGAGGTAGGCATTACATGGTAGTCCAAGCGGCAGTCGTACTCATTGTTTGAATAGCTCTCAATCACTGCTCATCAATGTCTTCGCAATTTTATCAGTCTACCAGAAAAGAAGAGCAGTGTTCCTGCATTGGCTAGTCTGGGACAAGCAATTGTCACCTTGACACTGTCTTTTATTATAGAGCGGATACTTAGATTCAAGGAGAGCAAGAATACGCTGACTGATGTATCACTCACAGAGCTGAATGAAGATACCAAAACCTTGCTTTCATTACTCGCGGGTGTCTCAGAGAATCAAAGTAAGCTTGAGCCATGAGGGATGAAGGATAGCAGGGTCACTGACTTATCTTACTACAGAACCACTGGTGTTAAGCGTAATTCTGCCAACATTAACCTATTTGTTGGATAATCCACCTTATAGTGGCCGCGAAACCAAGGTGCATGAGGCTATACTAGCTCATTTGCTGACTATTGCAACCAGCACACCTGCTGTGTTCCGCGATACGGTATCGAAGCTGCCCAACAACGTGAAAACCAAATTAGAATCTGCTATGCGCTATAGCATCTTGGCTAGTCAAGAACAGCAGCAGAAGCAGCAGCAAAAGGAGCAGCAAATGAGAGCAGCCTATGAAGATAGTAAGCAGCCTACCATCGCTCTTAAAATGGACTTTAGCAACTTTGGATAAAGGCCATCATGCACGCATTTTATTATTTGAAGATATGCAAATCCTTATGCTTTTCCAAAACACTATACTACATACCTATCCAAGATTTAACTAATATGCCACTTTCCAGTAAATAAACAACTATTCTTTTCACTACGAATAATTGCAATCGTTGATAGATCCAAAACTATGGCACAAGCTTCATGTCATATTTACAAGCATATCTTAAAAAAACAGTACCTAATACGCCTACGCTTCATCGTATTGTCAGGATTTAATTCCGTAACCGTGAGCATTTCAACCTTCTACCTGTATGTCTTGCAATGGTACAAGGTTTGTTTCAATTCAGAATTGCCTCTTTTACAGGTGCTATTATACAATTCATTTTTAGTAGACGACATCATCTGAATTCATGGAGTTTCTGAAAGACATACAGGGTGACAGACGAAATATGTCATCTTGCGCATTATCTTGATCTGACGGATTTGAAACGACCCTAGCCGATCGTCCGCGTCGGATGAATAATAAAGCTTCATGGGCCTTTTCTGGATCTATATTGCCAGGTCAATTGATCTAGAAAAAGTGTCCCGCTACTACTACTATACTACGTTGGTCAGATCAGATATGTTTAAATTGAAATTTTCATTGATTTACTACACATGTTATTTGTAAAATACGTCAAGCGACTTGAGCCTGCGCATCTATATACTACTGTGAGATCAGCAATAATATGGCTCAAGCAAACTGAAATGTCAGATTTAGATCAGATCAAATCATCATCACAATGAGGTTGAGCTTTGATTCATATATTATTAATATGACACATAATGAAAATACTATGGTAACGGCTATTGTGCGCGCCCTCGCACGGCAACATGGAAATAAGGGCGCGGAGAAGACGGAACTAATACATTCAATGGACATGTGTCACTAGAAACTGTAATTTCTATCCAATTCTTGAATGGCGATTCATTACGACAAACCGCATAAATATAGCGCAAGATCCATTCTGAGATCTGCTCTTTTTTTTCCTTTTTCTTCTTTGCACATATTTCCAAATGTCTTTTGTCGAGAAGAAATCAACTATCAAATCCATACTCAAATCAAAACTGTCCTTCAAGCCGCCAGTGACTCAGGATCCAAGAACATTTAGTCGAACGACCAAAGGCATCATCTTGATGTGCATTGGGTTATGTGCGAGTACATCAGGATTCTCATCCACCATCTACTTTCCAGGTAATTACGTGAGAGTGTAACAACAGTAACCAGTGGCAGTAATCAGATCAATGACACTATATACTAAACGCACCATCTTACTACACATACAGGGCTTCCTGCTATCACCGAGGAATTACATGCACCGCCTATCGCTACAACATTAACTGCAGCCTTGTTCGTCTTGCTTATGGGCATTGCTCCTGTTTTCTGGGCATCTTTCTCTGATCGTTTGCATGTACGTCGTGTGCTGCTGTTCTTCTCGATGATTGTATTTGCTGTTGCATCCCTTGGTGCTGCCTTTATCAACAATATTTGGGGATTGGTGGTGCTGAGATGTATTCAGGCTGTTGGATCTTCTTGCGGACAATCTGTCGGCGCTGGTGTCATTGCTGTAAATATACACTTTAAAGCACGTATGTTGATTGATCTGACAGTTTTTTTCTTGTACAGGATTGCTATCCGTTAGAGCAACGTGGTGCTGCTTTTGGAAAATACTTTTTCTTTGTGTTCTTTGGTTCGTATCAACCGTTTGATAAGCAGGATCAAATACACTAACTCTCATCACAGGTCCACTGCTCGGCCCTATTATTGGCGGCTTCTTGATCATCAGCGTTCTTTCATGGCGTGCTACCTTCTGGTTCTGTGTAGCATTTGCTCTGTTCATTGCGTGCAACATCTTCTTCCTGTTTCCTGAAACCTATCGTGATAATGCCAAATGGGATATGCAATTGCCTACTACTTCCAATGACGATAAAGCATCCTCCATTAGCAGTGCAACTCTCGAAGGCAATGCTCATCAGCCAGAAATAGAGGCGAGCTCCGAAAAAAGCCAAATTGACACAGTGGAGCACCAGATTCCTGTAGAGCCCAAACCAGCAGCTGCCCAACCACAAGCACGCCGTACTAATCCTTTTGCTGCCTTCCTCTTGTTGAGACATCCGTTTGTCCTCTGTTCTGCTCTTGTGTCTGGTATTGCATTTGGCTGTATGTTTGCAGTGGAGACCATCATTCCTGGCTTATACGAATCGCATTATGGATTCAACTCATGGCAAACAGGTTTGTCCTATCTCGGTGCCGGTGTAGGTAACATGGCCGGCTCATTGCTTGGTGGAATGACATCAGATAAGCTCTTGTTACGTTCTCGCCGTCTTCGTGGTGGTCGTGCCGTGTGTGAGGATCGTTTAACTGCAAATCTCTGGTTTGCTTTTGTCTTTATCGTATTTGGCATCTTGCTGTTTGGTTGGGGCATTCAAAAGAACCTTAGTTATTGGTGTGGTATTGTCGCTTTTGGTATTCAAACATTTGGCATGAACCAGGTCATGACAGCTACCTCTGCTTACATTGTGGACGCAGTGCCTGGTGCTGGTGCGTCTGCTACTGCCTCTGCTAATCTCATTCGTATGATCATGGCCTGTGTTTTGACGCTTATCGCTAATCCTTTGGTGGCAAGTATCGGCTCTGGATACACATGTGTCTTTTTAGCCGGTCTGTCTGTTGTTGGGTTCTGTATTTTGGTCATTCTCAAGTTGTTTGGTGAAAAGATGAGAATCAGAGCTGGATTCAAGGATTAACGCCACTTTACTCGGTATCAAAAACCTAATCTTTTACTGCTTATTACATTAATCTTTATTTATACACACATCACTTTAGAATATATCATTACAATAAACTCTTCTCTTTAATATGAATAGCGTAGATCAAGTTATTATTTGCAAAACTTCATATGCATCCCTTGCCAAATGGTTGAACTCTGATATTACTTTATCATTATATACAAGAACATAATAATGTATCTAATCCAACATTGGATAGCATTGATTTATAGGGGGGTTTTACCGAAGCGAAGCAAAAGTGCAAAGCCTTGGTAATAAGGCGTCTAATCCAAGACTTGATAACATTGATCTATATGAGGGCTTGATCGCAGCGAAGCAAAAGTGCAAGCCTATGGCAACTAAACACCCAATTCAGCATTTACTAGCATTGATCTATACAAGGACTTGATTATAGCGAAGCGAATATGTAAAAGTATAGTAATCAAGCAGTAACTTTGGCTTCTCATTTCCATTGTTAATAAGCTTACCAGCAACATAGCGCATCAAAATTTGCATAAATCAGCTTTACCAAAATCAATATACCTCTTATTCGAATTAAAAATTGCTCGAGCTACAGAACTGCTTTTTCAGTAAATTGCAGCTACCAAAGAGGCGATTTATGCCGTATAAATAAACTCTATAAAGCAATGCATAATCAAATTTGACAACCTTTAAGCCTTCATATCTTGAAATGTAGACCTTTTTGAGCCACCAGAATGACGCCAAACAATTGTACTCGAGTAGCAGTAACTTCCTGACATCTTTGCTCAACTTTTTGGGCCAAAAAAAACATGGCCAAAAATCGACCAAAAACCATGAGGTACCCCTCATGGTTTTCACTGGAAATCAGACGATCGCGTTTTTCACCTTGAAAATGAAGACTTTTACTATAGCATATATTGAATCAAAATGTTTCTCTCGATCCAAAGCAGCTTCTGAAACCACTTTTATAAGGTTTTAATATGCAAAATATGGCTATTTTCGCTAAAAACCTCATTTCAAATTTTACAAAATTACTCAATAGTCTCAGTCAAAGCACTTATTACAATTAGCACCATTGGAAGCGCCTTGAAAAGTACTCCAAGAATGTATTAGGAAGCGTAGGGTGATCATCACAATTTATATAGTCGAATATTACAAAATAAATTAAAGAAGTCGAAAAAGGACGAAATCTGTCCAATCTTTAACAAAAAAAAAAAGGCTGAGTTTCAATCAATTTTGGCGGTGGCATTGCTGCTGGCAGACCTAAATGCCTTTTGTTGATGACAATGATGATTGCGATGCTGATTAAATGGGAATCATGGAATTGAAAGGACAATTGCTTAACGAAAATAATTTTTTCTTTGCTTCCTTTGAAGGGGTTTCCCTATAAAGATGTCTTTAGCAATGACATTTCTCAAAAAGGCCATCTCAAGAACAACATCAGCGAATGGAATGGCATTTCTACTACCAGAAAATGTGATACGAACGGAGAATGTGGTGTACAAATGCTGCATAAAGCTTGAACTCTCTCTCATATCGTCTCAATAATAACTTTCGTTATTATCTCTGATTTAGAATGTCTTTGGGGGAGAGCCCGGAAGACGACGCCGACATCGAGCATAGCGAGATAGATCGGCTAGTTTTATATATAATACAAAATTGCGGCCCACCTAACGCCCATTTTTTTCCATCGTTCTATGTATACACTCTTCCATTTACTTTCTGATCTCTGCAGAGACGGTTTGCACAGTCTCCAAATACACCTTCAATGCCTCAGGATCGACAGTAGGCAAGATACCATGGCCCAAATTAGCGATATGTCTGGAATCCTTACCAAAAGCATGCACCATCTTGGTAGCAATTTCACGGATAGCATCAAAACCGCCGTACAAGGCAGTAGGGTCCATATTACCTTGAAGAGCCACCTTATCATTGGTCATTTTGCGAGCAAAAGCGGGATCGATAGTCCAATCAAGAGAAACAACTTCATAGTTTGATTCAGACAAATCAGCAAGAGCATACCAAGATCCCTTTGCAAAGATGGTCATAGGCACAGCATCCAATCCCTCGCTATTCAAACGTTCCTTGACCTTGCTGGAGATTTGTCTGATATAGGGCAGAGAGTATACCTTGAAGTCTTGAGGAGAGAGCTCACCACCCCATGATTCAAACACTTGAAGCATCTATTTGATTTAAGGTTTAATATCCAATTGGCCAGGGGGGGGGGGGGAGAGGTCTCATAAACAGCAGCTTACCTGTGCACCAGCTCTGACTTGACCAACCAAGAATTCAACAGCAATGTCTGTAATACGCTGCAATAAAGCATGCGACTCCTTGGGATACTTCCACAACCAGCTCTTTGCCTTGGCCAAAGTTTTGCTGCCACCACCTTCAATCATGTATGCCATCAATGTCCAAGGTGCGCCAATGAAACCAAACAAAGGCACACGGCCATCCAACTTATGACGAGTCAAGGTGATTGCCTGATAGACGTAGCCCAATTCCTTTTCCACATCCACATTTTCGGTCAAGCGAGAGAAACACTCGGGTGTTTCTAAAGGAGCAGGGAACACAGGACCCTTTCCAGCGACCATTTGCACCTCGAGACCCATTGCTTGAGGGATGACGAGGATATCTGAAAAGATGATGGAGGCATCCAAAAGCTTGCCATAGCGGTCAATGGGTTGCAAGGTCAATGCGCAGGCAAGTTCAGGTGTGCGGCAAATTTCAAAGAAGCTGTGGTTCTTTCTCAACTCTTGAAACTCTAGCATCCGTGCATGTCAGCTACCATTCTCTTGTAATGTCTATTGCTTGTAGTTACCTGGCAAATAGCGACCAGCTTGTCTCATAATCCAAACAGGGGCGCGTTCAATCTTTTCACCTACAGGCTCGTTTAGTGTCTACATGGTTCATGCCGGGTGATGTTGACGACGCTAATTACCTCGGGAGGCACGGAGAATGAGATCGTTCTTGAGCTCAGGAAAGTTTTCTGCCTTGTAGGAGGTCATTGTGTAGGGCTGTTTAAAGTAAGAAGAAAAGAAGAGAGAGCTAAAAATTTTCAAATGTCTTTTCCCTCTTTCAAGTTTAATTGCAATGACCAACGGCAAAAGAAATTTGAAGCTCCATGTTACAACGGCAAGCAAAGCCTGTGGGACGTTAGCAAGGCACCACTTCTTTGCTGACCAATGAATGCCTCGCATCGACCAGGTTCAGCGTGTCAAGATCGAGGCATGTGTACCATGGACTTCGATCAGATTTACCAGTAAGCTCTACAGGCCCTTGAAGATTGGCCATGGTATCCTTGAAACCAGGCATATATCAAATGCCTGGAAATTGATTTACAGCACACACATGCTTTGCTATTAACAAACAGGTGGCATGTTTGTCTATTCACGCAAGTCTGCATTGGTCTGTATAAATCTTGGTAACAAACACAATGATTTGCACTTGGACTATCGTAAAATATAAGCATCAGAAAAGTATAAATAACAGGTGTGTTTGCTCTGCTTAATCTCCACAGAACGTTCAGTATGAGATCTACTCTGATAACGTCAGCTATTATCGCAGCCTTTGTCTGTCAAGCGGCCGCCACACCATCGCCCAAATACTGGGATGAGGATTTCTCATACACACATAAACTATTATTATCTGTAGACAATACTGGCAAAAAACAAGATCAAGGCATCTTTAAAGCAACCAAATTCCAAATCCTCAGCTGGGACGACGCTTACAACAAGGCAAGAACACTGGTGCAATCCATGTCCATCGAGCAAAAGGTCAACATCACCACTGGAGTGGGTTGGGGTGCAGCACAGTGCGTTGGTAATTCTGGGCGATCGACCAACCCTGACTTTCCAGAGTTGTGTCTGCAAGATTCGCCTTTGGGTGTTCGCTTTGCTGATGGCGTCAGTTCAGGTGTCGCTGGTATCAATGCTGCTGCTTCATTTGATAAAAAAGGGATCCGCAGAAGAGGCGAGTACATGGCATCTGAATTCCGTGCAAAAGGCGTCAATGCGCAACTGGGACCTTCTATGAACATGATGCGAGCTCCCCAAGGCGGTAGAAACTGGGAGGCATTTGGTGAGGACCCCTATCTGGTAGGTGTAGCTGCTTCAGAGACCATTCGAGGTATTCAAAGTCAAGGCGTGGTGAGTTGATTGCAGCGAAATGACATACTCGCGTCATTCACACCCTGTATAGATGGCAGTAGCAAAGCATCTGATTGGCAATGAGCAAGAGACAAATCGACAGTTGGTAAGAGCTTGAATGACAGCGCCATAGTCTGTGTATTGACACTTTGTTCCATTCAGCATTCAGTCCATATTGACGAAAGAACAATGCAAGAAGTCTACTTGTGGCCGTTTGCTAGATCTGTTGAAGCCGACGTCGCATCGGTCATGTGCTCCTATAACAAGATCAATGGTGTTTATGCTTGTGAGAGTGATTACGCTATCAATCATCTGCTCAAGGGTCAATTAGGATTCAAGGGCTTCGTTCAAAGTGATTGGTCTGCAACACATTCCACTGTAGACAGTGCCAACAATGGGCTTGATATGACCATGCCAGGTAAGTAACAAGCACCAAAGCCAGTAGGTCCATCAAGCTAACATGGCATGGATACGAGGCGATATCACATTCAATTCTGGTGATTCTTATTTTGGTAAAAACCTGACCAAGGCTGTCAAGATGGGTACAGTTCGTGAGGACAGGGTAACAGACATGGCAATGCGCATTGTTGCTGCTTGGTACAAGGTATGTACGCTCAAATGCCATTTACAAGGTATAAAGCTAACATTGCTTTGATAGCTGGGACAAGATCAGGTACGACAGCTTAATAGCTTTTCAATCGAAGACTGACATTTGCATGATATAATAGGACTTCCCTCGACCCAATTTTGATAGCTTCAGACCTGAAAAAGGATTGCATCTCGACGTTCAAGGCGACCATAGAAGAGAGATAAGACAATTGGGAGCTGCATCCACCGTTCTACTAAAGAATGAAGGCAACATCTTGCCTCTGAGTGCTTCTCACATCAGGAAACTAAGCATCATTGGTTCAGATGCAGGTCCAAATCCAAAGTAAAAAAAAACGATAATAGCATCATACATTTGAGTGTCTCATCTACTTTTGCCTAGTGGTTTGAATTGCGAAGACCATGGCTGTGCAAATGGACATCTTGCTCAGGGATGGGTAGGCTAGCAACGTATATACACTGATGTGTTTTTCACTAACTATATTTTTATAACCCAAGGGTTCTGGAACAGCCAATTACCCCTACTTGATCACTGTAAGTACAATCATCAAACAGCAGCTCTGATAGATTAACACTTTAGTTCTCCCCAACATAGCCCTTGGATGGAATCAAGCACAGAACTGGTAACAGCATAACCATGACAGAACTCCTCAGCGACACAGATATCGGCACAGCAAAGAAACTTGCATCTGAAGCGGATATCGCCATGGTTTTCGTCAGCGCAAACTCGGGCGAAGAATTCATTACTGTAGAAGGACACAAGGGCGACCGTAACCATCTCAATTTATGGCATGATGGCGATAGATTGGTAATAACAGTCTTCTTAACATCGCATCCTTTCAAACTAAACGTATTCCTAGATTGAAGCAGTAGCAGAAGTCAACAATAACACCATCGTTGTTGTACATTCTGTAGGTCCAGTGCTCATGGATAGCTGGATCAAGCATCCTCATATCAAGGCAGTTGTCTGGCCAGGACTAGCCGGTCAAGAGTCAGGCAACTCTTTAGCTGATATTCTCTTTGGCGACGTTAATCCTTCTGGAAGACTACCCTACACTATAGCTCACAAATTAGAAGATTACCCTGCCAAAATATCCAACGAAATGAGTGTAAGACTTACCGGCCAATAGCTAGAATGGTGTCAACTAACTACCCGTCCATAGTTCCATTACACGGAAGGCATTCATGTTGGTTACCGCTGGTTTGATAAGCATGGCATTGACCCCTTGTTTGAATTTGGCTACGGTTTATCCTACACTCGTTTTGAATACACTGATGCTCAGGTCCATGTGGTCCATGGTGATGCTCAAGACCCTAATGTTGAAGTCACCGCCAGTGTCATGATCAAGAATGTAGGCCAGTTTGATGGCGCCGAGATCCCTCAAGTCTATCTCTCGTTCCCTTCAGTAGCCGAGAACTCTCCTCGGCTACTGAGAGGATTTGAAAAGGTCTTTGTACCTAAAGGAGGACAAGCACCCGCTGTATTTACACTGAAAAAAACTGAATTGAGTTATTTCGATATCAATACGCATCAATGGGTTGTCCCCAAAGGTGAATTTGTCTTGCATATTGGCTCCAGTAGCAGAAATATCAAGCACTCTCAATCCTTTACATTAAACTAACATCCATAGAACCTTTGCATATAGAAACTTGGGTATGATTATTAATATTTTGCAAATGAAGAGGGTATATCTATTATAATTTTTTGGAATATGTTGTAATAAAGTCCACCATCCCAGGCCTTAATTTCTCTGCCTGTGTCAGCACAATCGTAAAATCAGACATGTGGTATAAAGCAAGTGCATTCATGATTCGCGTTGTTAGGTCATTGTCCGAGGGCTGACATAGAATCACAGGTCTACATGGTAAGCGAAAATTAGTACCTGGTTGAGAAATCACTGCGACCACACACACTCACTCACTCACTCACTCACTCCCTCACTCACTCACTCACTCACTCACTCACTCACTCACTCACTCACTCACTCACTCACACACTCACTCACACACTCACACACACTCACTCAAACTTACGTTTCATCCTGCACAAACTTGATCATGGCCAAGGCCCTTTTGATTAGCGATCTTCTCCATTGTCTTAGATAAGCTTCTCTCATGCGCGTTGGTATTCTTCGTGTTTCATCTAGCAGTGTCTGTACCATGGGAGCAATACAATCGGTCCTTTCAAACACACTTTGTCGCTTGTTCCAATCATTCATATTATTTACAGTAGCATTGCTATCATTGACGAAACTTGCAAAGTTGTCTTCCAATTTCGATGCAACGGCCGTATGGTATTGCGATTTGAGTAGGCGATAGCTACTGAACAGTGGTGTCTTTCTCACAATCAATCGAGTCATGTCCACCAGCGTCGTGGGCACTGTAGAATCCAACACGGCAATCTCAACCTTTGTCTCCATCTCCTCGACATCTTGTATCAGCAGGCCCTGAAGGTATAGATCGGGCATGTAGTGATGATGCTTTCTTGCATGGCTTGATCTACTCCTCTCTTCCAGCGATAAGAATAGTGCTAGTGTATTGATCACCATGTTCATGCTCGTCAGTGTATTACCCACCAAGAGAGTCGAGCCAAAGGTTTGCAGGTGTGATGTAATTACTCTGTTAGATGGTCAGTTATAATTGCACAGTGCATGCTCAACAAGTATATTTTACAAACTTGGCAATAAACGGTGATTCCAGCATTTGCCTTGACTCATGATCCAGTATGGTGTGGCTCGTCTGTGTGCGTGTGTATGGCCAGTGAGTGAGCGAATATATGTCTCTATATAAAGCAAAGGCCTCTTACCTTGACGCAATCAATGGGCAGAGACACTGACTCCAGATCCATCACAGATTGCACAAAAGGCATCAGATGATTGACTTTAAAGTAATTTAACGCAGTAGACCACGGCTATCAAAAGATTAGATGTGATGGACTTATCTTATCAAAGCAATCACAGCAAGACAGTGTACTTACAGTGGCATGACGTTTATAGACTTTGCGTAACTGAACAAGTGGTTCTACCAGCTGTATGGGAATACGATCACACAGGACCTGAAAGTACTGAGAGAAGTTCCTCAAATACCGCACAGGGACTACCAAGACCAGTGCGCACAGCGATTCCAAAGTCGGATCATTGAATAAAAATGCCGTACAGATTATCGCTTGACGATGCAATACAATCCATTTAGGTTCCACGCCCTTCAATGTACGTCCCATCTCCCCATTCAGCACTTGTCTGCCAATCATCATTTGCAATTTCTCCTCTAATGGCTCGACAGACCACATTTTTTCTACCTTGGGTCCAACTAGATTCGACCATTGAATCAGCATGGCGGCCGAGAAGAAGGATTGTTCAAACAGTCTGCGTTCAGCTAGACTGGCTGTACTCGATCCCTTTTTCATTGATTTCTTTGAATGTGTTGTCGTCGCTAACATATCATGTTCATTTAGTATGTGTCCAACATGACTGTGAGATGCTCACCATTTGCTGCATCTTGGAGCGCTACAATCGCTTCAGAGGGTCCCTTTCCAATGGGAGGCGGTAACAGGAGCTCTGCAGACACGGGTGTGGTATTCTCTACGAATTGAGGTGAGGGCAATGGTGAAGCCATGTTGGAGTGCGCTTCAAAAGCAGGAGATCTGATGTGGTGATGGTGATGGTGGTGATGCGATTGCTTTCGCTGTATATCGTTCGTAGCTGCTGATTCCTCTTCTGTGGATGTGGTAGTGGGAGGAGAGAGGTCCAACGTATCGTTGCTGTTTGAACCTGTCACAACAGCAGTGGTCGTAATCTCCAATGTTTGTATGGCCGTTGTTGAAGCGGTTGCCTTTGACTTTGTAAGACGAGTACGTTGAGGTGCTTGGTCAGTCATTTTCATTTCGTTACAATTGAAAAAAGAGAGAAAAAGAGAAAGAGAGAGAAAAAAGAATCAACGGAAAAAACCCAAACCTTCAAAAAGGAGATTATGCCATCCAAGCATCATTCTTTGTATAGTCACAGTTACTGAAATCAATCACTCTCATGCAAAAAAAAAAAAGGGCATCTTGTGTGTGGTATGTTTATTATGCAATGGGTTTATTCTTGGCTCGAGTCTTCCTTGAGCTCTTTAAAATCATCAGCTTCTTCGTCATAGCACCAGCTAGTCAATTCGACGCCGTAGGGCTTGGGTCTTAATTCATAGACACTACAAATAAGGGTCAGTACATGGCATCATCCATGAGCTATTTAATACGTACGTATGGATGGGCACAAGCATATGAGGCATTTGCGTTTGAGACCATTCTAATCCAATCATGTCAGCTGCACTGTAAACACAACTCATGGCAAACACTAGCTACAAACCTAACAGATAGCCCAATAGAATACGCAAAACAACGCGATGCGTGACAATCAAGCAAGATTGATTCATTCTTTCCAGCTCAATGATCATGGATTGCAGTCTATGTATAACATCTATATAAGACTCGCCACCCATACCAGGGTAGCGATAGTAAAGTTTGTTGTCTTGTCTAGCTTGAAATTCAGTAGGGAATTGAGACTTGATTTCCTCGTACGTCATGCCTTCTCTACTCTATATAACATTGACTTAGTATCCCACTAAATTATCCATCTCTACTAGCTATTTTACCCCTGAATTGATCTCATTCAAGAACCGAATGTGCTTGATATCATACTCGTCAGGATCAAATGATTGAGCTGTTTCCATGGATCTCTTGAGCATACTCGTCCAAATGGTGAATTGCGAGTTGGATATGGCCTCTGCAGTTGCTCTCACTTTCTTCTCCTCCTTGTGCTCCTGCTCAGTCGCTTGCTCCTCGTCATCAGAGTCCTTGAGTGGATCTTTGGACTCTTTTTCCTCTTGAATCTTTCTTCTGGCAAGATCCAAAGCAAATGCAATTCGTCTCTCCTTGACAAACCGTGCTAGAGCCTTGGAGAACTTTCTTCCCTTGGCAGATAGCTGCGAAAGTAGCCCGTCAGCAAGCGTTTTGCATACAATCTGACACCTATACTTACAGGAGCATCACCACCGATTCTTCCAGTAATATTATCCTCGCTCTCGCCATGACGTGTGACAAAGATCTGACGTTCTGATGACAACAACAACAGTGAGTCCAGACTATTCAAGAAATGTATCTATCTATATACCTGCAAGATTGAAATTCATCAGGTAAAATATGCATTGACCAGAGAGATAGCCCGAGATGTTGTGAGCAATTACCTTCTTGCCCACATTGACTAGTTTACAGTACTGAATGTCATGATCCTCTTCCCAATCCCCAACTGGCTCATAAGCTCTTTCATAATTAGCCACACGATGTCTAAAATCAGATAAGGCTTTGGTTGGATCTTTGTCCTTGTAGTCAGGGCCTGATAGTTTCAGGCGGAAATTGCGTTCAAGCACCTGGATCCCGAATGTATGAGTCTATACTGTGTACTTGTCATGTCGTAGAATATTACGTACTGTCTTGTCTGTACACACGGATTCCAAAATAAGCACCTTGATGTCGGACTCCTGCTGCAAGCGGTCAATAAGGAGCTTTCGTCTTTGGATAGTTGAGTTGGTGGCATCGTGAATAGCGACTCTTCCTCCCGTTCTCAGCCAGTCAATGAGTTGATCCAGCACCATGATGGCCAATTCATCGCGGATCTTATTACCATCTTTGTTGTCAGGATCAAAAAAATTGGCTGATTGATCCAGCTGTTGAGATGCTTTATTGACACGACGCAAGTTACCCACATTAAACACCTGTTGTTTGTATATTGAGTCTGGCTGATTTCTCAAACCCCTTTGCTCTCTCACTCTCCCTCCCTCTGTTTACGTACCTTTGTTTCATACTGCAACCAGTTCAAATAACGCCTCAGCTTCTTTACAATGTAACTCTTTCCTCTTGCAGGTAATCCCACTACCGTATGTTAATCGTATGAAATATAGAAAATGAACGTGTTGCATTACCCATTACAACCACCAGTTTGCTATCAATCTGACGCTCTGTTTTCAATTCTATATTACAACTAAATCAGTATCCATGATGCTCAATCCACTCTTGAATCACTGACTTGGAGTCACTATGGTATGCACAGCGCCAGGCACATCAAAGCCAACACTATGTCTATTAGCGAATCCACCATGCTCATCCAAATTGGGTCTATGAAAAGCAGGTGCTGGTGCGCCCTCTGTACGACTTACAAAAGCATGCGCTATTTCTGAGGTGGAGGGCGATGAAGTCAGTGGATGGTCAGCTTCATCAGTAACTTGGAAATTGGGTAAATCTATAGATAATCGTGCTAGTCCTTCGGCTTCCAAATCCTTGTCAGTCTTTAGCACGGGTAATGGTCTGTTGCGTCGATTCCTGTTGTATTTCGAGAATAAGCTGTTAATGCTTCTTTTATCGCTGTTGGTGTTGTTTTCCATTAGAGTTTAGATGAAAAAAAGCAAAAAAGCAAAAAAAAAATCAACACTGCAGCTTTTTTTTTATAGTAACAGATACTACGCTAATGGAATTAAGGTTCTGATAGTATGATGTATACATTGTGTCACAAGAAAAGCAGGTTGCCTGTCATTGCCAGGTCGCCAAATTCATCCAAGTGCCTTTTGACTTTTCTGCTTTATGGAAATGAGAAGCTGTTTCTTGTCCAGTGGATGCTGAGCGTTGTAAGAGATGTACTGATTACATCTTGCTGTGCTCTGTAGAAATACGCCGAATACAAGCTGCATAATTTATGGTCATTCAAAAATTGGGTTACCATTGACGGATTTCAGCTCGATGCTGTACAAGTGTCATGGCTGAATTTGGTGCATTTGCCATAAAGAATCGCGATATATTGCAGATGTTTTGCCATTTTATCAGTCTACTACACCATTTCAACTCTGTTTATTAAAGTCTGATTGTATTATATATCTATAAGAAAGGTCTACAAAAGAAAGTATGGCTGGGTTATCAGTGGGGATGTTACTGCCAAGCGGGGAGAACGTGCATACCTGGAGCTGGAGCGCTTACTAGGTTATAGTTGAAAGTTGCTCTTCACTAACCCGCAGAAGGAAGTTTCATCATATCAATTATATATATATTGTATACCTCAAACCAATTGCTTTTACCCATAATCAAAGAGCTAATGGCTACAAAGTAATTCATCTGGCTAGGTTTCTTGCTCACCATCAAAACTGACATGCCGCGCGATGTCTTCAGGAGCTTCTTCTCATGTACAATAGTAACATTCTCTTTGATCACTTCCGCAGAGCCAATCTCTTATTGATCAAACTTGTACAATACATCAAGTTTAATCTCCTGATTTCTCTCTCTCTTTTGTTGTGGCCTTCCACTTTATTGCCGTTCTTCTTTGCCAGAGAAACAGCGACACTGGACTTTTCGCCTAACTTTATATTGATGTACTGGTCGTTGTGTAGCGTATAAGCATAGGGCCACACTTTGCGGGGCATACATGTTTTTTGAGGCTACTTCTTGTCGAACTCTTCTCTTTTAATGAGATTAGACATGGCTTGCTCTTCGATGCTGCTGACATTCTTGAGACCTTCAAGTTTATTCATATCGCCCTCTACAATTTCAGGATTCGAACTCTTTTCTGTTTGTTTTTTTTTTTCTAATTCCTTGTAACTCTTGTGCAGAAGAGTATAGCATTTACGAGGATTCGCTGGGATCAAGAACGAAAGACTGAGCAGGATGCTCGAACTCAAAGTCGTGAGCCACTACGTTGAAGTCGACTTCTACAGAATTACGGTTTGACTTGGCCAGCTTACATATGATGCCTTGATACCGCCGATCATGTTCTCATCGCAATTAGCCTTGAGGGCCGTGATCAGCGAAAAGATAATGCTATCTTACCTCTTTTTTCTCCTCATTGACAATTATACTATGATGAGAGATGCTTGGTGAGCTGAAATGTTTCATTAGGTTGAACCTTTGGCGAGTGGCTGATAAAATTAGCTCCTCCCAGCTTAAGCGTGCTGGCTCCTCTTGATATGTATCCTACTGATATATTCAACTTTCTTCAGACATGGCCTGTAGCTGCGTATCTGATTTTGCTCGTTTATTCCAATAAAAATAATACTGGGACGGGTAGATTACATACTTGCATTGCCTCCTAGTATTATTAGAACTTGTATGGAATGCAGCGCGATTTGGGCGTATTTGAGCCATGATTTCTCATGTTAGAAGCCATTTTAGACCAACAGAATAACGCCAAACAATTGCTTCAAACTGTTTAGTGGATGCTACTAGGTCAAATGATTGCATCTTATACTTTTGAATAAAGAAGAATGTAAATTTTAACTATTTGAATACCCTTTTATTACAAACACTATATTATGATAAATGACAGATCAATAGGGGATCAATAGGAAATCAACTAGTTTGTAACCCTTCTCCGTTTGGATCCCTGAGCCAATCAAATCGCTTGAAAACTCCGCTGACCTAAAAAAAATTGCGAGAGTTCCCCCCTGTTTTGATGTGAGGCAAAATTTTAAGCTCCGCTATATATAGCAATATAGCCGTTACTATCATCAAATTTCCCTCAAATGCTAGACCATGCCTTACTTACACCACCTAGCTTTTAAATTCTGGCGTTGAGACTCTCAATCATCACTAAAGTAAGTAGCGATAACCAAGTGGAGGCGGCCTATCTACCTCCTGGCCTCGGATAAAGTCTTGTTGAGCTTCAGGGATAGGCACATCCACACAACGTAAAAAAGATATGCTTCAAAAGAAACATAAGAAAAGAAAAGAAAGTAAAGAAAAGAACATACTACTATAGGAGTATAGCAGTACGAGGGCAAAAAAAGGGATATGTGGAATACATCCACTATGATCTGCATTCCGACAGTTCATCCAGTTACCAGTGTTATGTCAAAATACAATGTAAAATTGAATCTGCCAAAGAATTACACTTTTATTGAGAATGCATCCCAAGGATGCATTTATATACTTTTCATTATGCTAGGGTTTACAGCATGATGATGAACTATAATACAAATAGGTTTACTATCTACCCAACAATTGATTTGTAAATCATGATTAGCATGATTTACCCAAAGGACCTAAGAATAGCCTAAAACCTTTAGTGTGAGACCTTGCTATGACATTTGATATAACAACCAGATTTAGATATAAGCTGTATGTACACTGGATTAGATGTACGATATCGATTTATACTATAAGAAGATATGGACTTCAGATACGCTAGTACTATAAGATTCATACTATATAAGATATAGGCTATAGATGGCACCACGGACAACATGGATGGCACTATAGACTTATACTTGTATTCCGACATTGACTACGGATGTTTGCCATATCTGGATAGGCACCAAGATTAATGCAATATGAGCTTGTTGCTTCAGATGTGCACTTCATGATCCACGCTATAAGACACATGCTTGTATCCGTGATACTAGCTAGAGATACTTTATGTACTACAGACTTGTACTATATATGAGACATGCTATAGACATGCCATATATCCAGATACATGCTAAAGATGTATGCTTAGCGATATACACTCAGATATGTACTATTAATATAGACTAAGTAGACTGTACCTATCGGATACATGCTACTAGTGTTGCATACAAGCATGCATCTTAGGCTACATTCACTTTCTCCTCAAGCCACCTTTTACAGTGTAGCAGCATAGATGATGTTTATCGTATCACATCACATCTATGTTTACAAGTCCAGTCAATTGTGTGTGCACAGGTGCCTCAGGAACTACAATACATTCAATCTCCCCAATGTCAAGATATCGAGATCCACCTACACTACATGAAACATATCGACTTAGGTGGCCTCTCAACAAGCTATACCAACAATCCATAAGGTCCCAGTGGCCTGCTATTTATATACCATCTCAACGTAGTAGTCATTGACCAGGGATCTACCATATTTAAGCAAGCTAGATGCCCTGTAATAAAGAAGCTCTTTGCTTTCGTTTTAGATACAGTTGACAACTGATTATTATCATCGACTTATTATTACGAATTCATCATTTTTTTTAATCAAAACCTTGATTGTATCATTGCTACTACTCTTACTACTACTACTTCTCAATTTTGTATACTCTGATGTCTGCTCAAAGTACCACCACACCCCCCAGTTCCGAATCTAAGCCTGCTGGAAACACTGAGCTGCGTCCTTCAGACGCCAGTGCCACCAAGGCTGTAGATATTACTGGCCCTTCTCAGTTTTTTCTCGCTGAAACGTCTCAGAAATTGGGTGGTCAAGCTGGCGAAGCTCCCACTACTACTGCTAGTGATGCGATGGACCTCGATCCCCCTTCCTCTGCTAGTTCATCTTCTAGTGATGTGGACCTTCAAGGTCGCACTGATCAGTTGAAGCTAATTGTTGACAATCAGCTCGCCGAAGTTCAGCTTCTCTCTACGACCTTGCTCCTCGAGCAAAGTGAGGAGGCCAGAGCCCAGGCCCTAGCTCGGTTGATCCAGTTGAATACGTCCATTCAAAGTATCATACAGATTCGAGATTGTTTGCTTGCATCCAAAGCTACTGCAAATGATAACCTCGTTTCTTCGGCTGCTGCTTCGTTTGGCTCATCCTCAGTCGATGGAGTCAAATCCAACAAGAGCGCCTCTGTACCGGTTTTCTTTCCCAACAACTTACCTGCATTTCAGTGGGTTGGTATGGATGAATTCGACCCCAAAAGCCCTATATTTCCTACAGTCGACGCTTGTCTGTTGAAGTTTGAGGATGTCATGTTCGCTTACAAGATGGATTTCGACAAGGAATATGCTCGCTTAGTACCACCTATGCTGTCTCCAGAACAACGTACTTGGTACGGCTCGTTCACTTCTGCTTGCACTGCTCCTGCATCGTGGAATGATTTCAAGTCGGCTATCAAGGCTCGTTATGGCATTAGCGTATTGGAAGAACGTCAACGTTGTGCGTCTGATTTGTTGAGCATTCAACTTTTGCCCGGTGAAAACGTGAAGGCCTTTCTTGATCGTTTTACTGACTTGCGTCGTCGATCCCTGGATCAAGCCCCATCCGATTACTTGTTGGCTAAGTTGTTCCTGGATGCCATTCCTTGGGTAGTCAAGGATAAGATCAACACCATCCGTCAATCCAAGGGCATCATTGATAGTTACGATGTTGACATTATCGTCAGTATCGCTCGTGAATCACTATCAACTATGACCGCAAATGAGATTGCTGCCATCTCAGCACCCGCTTTTGCTCGCACTGCTGCTGGATCTGCTGCATCACAATGGGCTCCAGTTGCGTCCCCCCGCCGCTCACATACCATGAAGGCATCATCCTCATCTGCTGATGGTCCTGCCGCTGTGTCTCGTGCTGGTGTCTCTTCTGGCCGCGTGGGCAAGCCTCACTTCAAGGCTACCAAGTCGTGCACTTTCCACCATGGAAAGCCTCACAACCATGACAC